CCCACTATTATTACTTCAGTGTGATTGCCCAGGCACTCTCCCACTGTTATTACTTAAGCATAACTGCCCAGACACTCTCCCACTATTATTACTTCAGTGTAATTACCCAGGCACTCTCCCACTGTTATTACTTCAGTATAATTGCCCAGACACTCTCCTACTGTTCTTACTTAAGTATAATTGCCCAGACACTCTCCCACTATTCTTACTTCAGTTTTCTTGCCAAGACACTCTCCCACTATTATTATTTTAGTGTAAATGCCCAGACACTCTCCCACTATTATTACTGCAGTGTAAATGCCCAGGCACTCTCACACTATTATTAATTCAGTGTACATGCCCAGGCACTCTCCCACTATTATTACTTCAGTATAATTGCCCAGACACACTCCCACTATTATTACTTCAGTATAATTGCCCAGGCACTCTCCCACTATTATTACTTCAGTGTACATGCCCAGGCACTCTCCCCCTATTATTGCTTCAATGTAATTGCCCAGACACTCTCCCACTATTATTATTTCGGTGTAATTTTTCAGGCACTCTCCCACTATTATTACTTCAGTGTATTTTGTTTCTAATTTGACACGGTAATTCCATTACTTAAATTTTACCCTGACATTCCTGGCATTACGAATATTTTTATCAGAGGTATTTAAATTTGTTATAGTCATTTTAATGTTTGAGATGGCAAATTCTTCCTCTCATTTTCGGCATTATTCAGTTATATCAGGTATTGTTGCAGGAACACTTTATGATTTTGCTTTCAGTGTAAAACAAAAGTTCTGAACTTGCAATAAACACTATAACTTAAAAAGTAATATCAATAATTAAGATAACCGCTACAAAATGGAGAAAAATAGATAAGACATCCAAGTAATAAAAAAGTTAATACATTTATCTGTCTGTTGCAGAGTGAGAATTTCGTTTCATTTCAGTTGCGTTTCGTTCAAAACAATGAAATTGTTTTCTGCCTTGGTAAACTATTCAACATCGTTACTGTAGTATAGAGGGTTATTGAGATGTCACAAGCATTAATTAACTCATATTCGGTCAGTTCTACTGATATGGTATTTGTTGAATATGTACGTCACTTTGTAAATTAGTGTATTTTAATTTTTTTGCTTTAGATACCGTATATACTTGTATTTCTGATTTTAGAGAAGGCGTACCCTCTACGTGTCCAGGCGCTGGCTAACATGGCCCGCCTGTCGTACGTTTTGTTAGCAATGGGACCCGTTTGCGTGGCGGCGGGGATCACAATCCTCGTGTACTTGGACAATGTAGACTTCCCCATCTCCTCGGGTGCTCAGATATGGTCTGGGGCAGTTGTAAGTGGATTTTATTGTTCACGAAAAAATACATCGTGAACCAACAAATATTAATCAGCTAAAAAGGCGATAATATTTGTCGTTTCGTCATAAATGAGAATCAATAGATATATGTATATATTTAATTTCACATAAACGATTAATGATTGATATACTTCGTTCTTTATCTATTGTATCTAGACTCAAATTTTAATTGTTTTTGGAGAAAGGCCATTAACACGACATACAATTTTACCTTAGGGCTTTACTATTTTCAAAAATATAATTCTTTGGAAAAAAATCCAATTTTGTGTGGTCAATTAATTCACATAAATACAAGTGATAGTTCTACAAAGAAAAAATGTTAATACTCGTAAAACCGCACGAAAATTATAGTTTTGTATGTGGTTATTGTTTCACTCTTCTCCAAAGTTTTTATTACTCAAACTCGTGTGGTACATACCTATCCACTGTTTGAGGACAGATATCTGTTTAACAACTCTGATTTTCGAAATGTGTCCAAACTCTATAAGGACATGAAAGACAACTACAGTGTATATGCTGTGTTTTGTAGATGACAGTAATGGGAGCGGTGGGCATCATCACATCCAGGACATCCGAAAATCTTAAACATGACATACAGTTCAATCTAAAATGCAAGGTAAGTGTTTACCTGCTTTATTTCATTAATCAACATTTCCAATAGGTATCTCATATAACTCTCATTCGTTTTCTACTTTTTTATTTCGATTGCAGACAAACTATCTATCCGATTTCAAACCATACTTTTCTCGTTCTCTCTAAGCGCAGAGTTGTCCCTGCAACAATAAAGAAACTTCAACTAAATAAATGTACATGTACAATATTTAAGTCATTTCATAAATGATTACGCTTGTTTGTAGTTTGGACGTATTTAATCACCGTGACCTTGAAACTGAACAAATATGAGGACACTGGATAAATCATTTAAGTAATAAGGGAATAAAAAGAGGTTTACCCTTTATGTCAAAGTTGACATTTGACCCCAATGACCTAAACACAATATACGAAAAAAAGTTCGCACTTCTGGTCTGCTAAAATCACCAAAGCACTATGACACTAGAAGCTGTGTCCATTTTCAGAAAATGTATTGGACTTCTGAAATATAGCTGACCCTGTGTTTTCAAATGTAGATCAATGACATTTAATATTTTATAGGAGAAAATTTTCCAGCACACAGTCCTTGGCACCTACTGTCCAAATGTGACGATTCGCGGAACTTTTGACTTTCAAAAAGTAACTTGAAAATCAAACAAGAGGCCCACGGGCCTTAACGGTCACCTGATATATTTATACAGAGAGTTAATTTTGTTTTTAACATGAACAGAAATATTATTCAAAGTGACAAAAAAACCACAATAAAACCACCTTATTCAATATCTAGCATACAGATTTAAGACTGAAAAGTATTTGAAACTACATGTAGCACCTCTGATTCTAAACAAGGAAAATGAAGAAGTTTTAGCACACTGACTCCTTTGAGCCCCACCCTACAGCCCTTGGGGGTAGGGCTGGCTCAAAATTTTCAAAGTATCAGACTGTCAACTCAGGGTTATAATTCCAATCAAGTTATTAACATGTAATATTCAAAGTATCATTTGCCATTATAAACCATAATAAATTTTGCCCCCNCCCCCTCCTTCCCCAGGGGGTAAACGTGAGATCCTAGGGTTATAAACCTTCCATCTATGAAGAGTGTTTGATTCTACCATATCTGTGTCTTCGAGAAGAAGATTTTTGAAATTGCAGTCAATTCGACCCTTTTTTGCCACACCATCAGCCCTGGGGATCAGTCAGGGCTCATATGTGCATACCATCAAACTGCTATCCAATACTGATAATGCTAACCCAAATTGAATTACTTCCAATGGAAATTAAACAAATGTTGGTCCAAAATGTGATTTCCCTATATAAACTATAGTAAAGTTTACCCCTCCCCAGGGGTAAACGTGAAACCCCAGGGTCATGAAGTTCACAATTTTGGTTAAGCACCTTAAGACCCTTCCATCTATGAAGAGTGTTTGAGTCTACCATATCTGGGTCTTGAGTAGAAGAATTTTGAAATTTTAGTCAATTTGACCCTTTTTGGCCCCGCCCCTCAGGCCCCTGGGGGCTGGGGACCAAATCAGCCATTATTTGTGTTGACCTTTGGCCACGGAAGGTTTCTGCAAAATTTCATTGAAATTGGTTCAGGGATTTTGGAGAAGAAGTCGAAAATGTAAATTCTTTACGGACGCTCGACGGACGACGGACGACGCCGGACAAAAGGCGATCGCAATAGGTCACTTGAGACTTTGTCTTAAAAAAATATGAGCGATGACGAACGAACGAACGGACCACAAACGCTGCATCATACAATAAGCTTACTGGTGGCACTTTTAAGTGCTAGTTGAGTTTATCATCTAATTAACAAATGCAAGCTTACTTTATTTTTCTTGCGTATTGTTACAGACGTCAACCTATTTTATGAGCTGTATTTTGAAAACTTTTTTCGAATGAGATGCATTATATTTGTTTGTCTTTTGTTATGATGTAATAAGATTTAGAAAGAATTGTGAAAATCGGTTGCAAATTTTACTAACAATCTGAAATAAAATTGGTTTATTTGTAATACAGTTCGTTGTAAACATCAATTAAAGTATATGGGTATCTTGTAGTACAGTTTGTAGATTGTAAACTGTACACAAAATACTAAGGCCACACACATGTTTAAGGTTACCCTAATTAATAGAAAGTACCTTATTTTTCGGCAATTAATGTATCACTGTAAAAATTACGGAGACACAGTTTGTACAGGTATATACGGAGACACAGTTTATACGGAGACACATTTTGTACATGTTTATACGGAGACACAGTTTGTACAGATAAATATACGGAAACACAGTTTGTACATGTTTATACGGAAACACAGAAAGTACAGGTATATACGGAGACACATTTTGTACAGGTATATACGGGACACAGTTTATACGGAGACAGTTTGTACAGGTACATACGGAAACACGGTAAGTACAGGTACATACGGAAACACAGTTTGTACAGGTATATACGGATACACAGTTTGTACAGGTATATACGGAGACACAGTTTATACGGAGACACATTTTGTACAGGTACATACAGAAACACAGTAAGTACAGGTTTATACGGAAACACAGTTTGTACAGGTATATACGGAGACACAGTTTGTACATGTTTATACGGAGACACAGTTTGTACATGTTTATACGGAGACACAGTTTCTACATGTTTATACGGAGACCCAGTTTGTTCACGTTTATACGGAACCACATTTTGTACACTTTTATACGGAGTCACAGTTTGTACATGTTTATACGTAGACACAGTTTGTACACGTTTATACGGATACACAATTTGTACAGGTATATACTGAGACACAATTTGTACATGTATATACGGAGACACAGTTTTACAGGTATATACGGAGACACTGTTTGTACATATAAATACATAGACAGTTTGTACACGTTTATACGGAGTCCCAGTTTGTACAGGTATATACGGAGACACAGTTTGTTCACGTTTATACGGAACCACATTTTGTACACTTTTATACGGAGACACAGTTTGTACACGTTTATACGGAGACACAATTTGTACAGGTATATACGGAGACACAATTTGTACATGTATATACGGAGACACAGTTTGTACGCGTTTATACGGAGACACAGTTCGTACAGGTATATGCGGAGACACAGTTTTACAGGGATATACGGAGACACAGTGTGTACAGGTATATACGGATACACAGTTTGTACAGTTATATACGGAGACACAATTTGTACATGTATATACCGAGACACAGTTTGTACACTTTTATAGGGAGACACAGTTTGTACAAACTGTGTATCCGTATATACCTGTACGAACTGTGTCTCCGTATAAAAGTCTACAAAATGTGTCTCCGTATAAACTGTGTCTCCGTATGAAAGTGTACAAAATGTGTCTCCGTATATACATGTACAGACTGTGTCTATGTATTTATCTGTACACACTGTGTCTCCGTATATTTATCTGTACAAACTGTGTCTCTGTATAAACATGTTCAAACTGTGTCTCCGTAGAAAAGTGTACAAACTGTGTTTCCGTATGTACCTGTACAGTATATACCTGTACAAAATGTGTCTCCGTATATACATGTACAAATTGTGTCTCAGTATATACCTGTACAAAATGTGTCTCCGTATATACATGTACAAACTGTGACTCCGTATATACCTGTACAAACTCTCTCTCCGTATATACATGTACAGACTGTGTCTATGTATTTATCTGTACAACCTGTGTCTCCGTATATACATATACAAACTGTGTCTCCGTTTATACCTGTACAAACTGGGTCTCCGTATAAACGTGTAGAAACTGTGTCTCCGTATAAACGTGCACAAACTGTGTCTCCGTAGAAAAGTGTACAAACTGTGTCTCGGTATATACATGTACAAACTGTTTCTCCGTATATACCTGTACTTTCTGTGTTTCCGTATAAAAGTGTACAAAATGTGTCTCCGTATAAAAGTGAACAAAATGTGTCTCCGTATAAAAGTCTACAAAATGTGTCTCCGTATATACCTGTCCAAATTGTGTCTCCGTATAAACGCGTACAAACTGTGTCTCCCTATAAAAGTGTACAGATAAATATACGGAAACACAGTTTGTACAGGTAAATACACAGACACAGTTTGTACATATAAATACATAGACACAGTTTGTACATGTACAAACTGTGACTCCGTATATCCCTGTACAAACTGGGTCTCCGTATAAACGTGTACAAACTTTGTCTCCCTATAAAAGTGTACAAACTGTGTTTCAGTATATTTATCTGTACAAACTGTGTCTCTGTATTTATCTGTACAAACTGTGTCTGTGTATTTACCTGTACAAACTGTGTCTGTGTATTTACCTGTACAAACTGTGTCTGTGTATTTACCTGTACAAACTGTGTATTGTGTCTCCGTATATACATATACAAACTGTGTCTCCGCATATACCTGTACGAACTGTGTCTCCGTATAGTCTCCGTATAAACGTGTACAAAATGTGTCTACGTATAAACGTGTACAAACTTTGTCTCCCTATAAAAGTGTACAAACTGTGTCTCCCTATAAAAGTGTACAAACTGTGTCTCCCTATAAAAGTGTACAGATAAATATACTGAAACACAGTTTGTACACTTTTATACGGAGACAGTTTGTACAGGTACATACGGAAACACAGTTTGTACATGTTTATACGGAGAGACAGTTTGTACAGATAAATACATAGACACAGTTTGTACATGTATATACGGAAACACAGTTTGTACACTTTTATACGGAGACACAGTTTGTACACGTTTATACGGAGACACATTTTGTACACTTTTATACGGAGACACAGTTTGTACACGTTTATACGGAGACACAATTTGTACAGGTATATACGGAGACACAATTTGTACATGTATATACGGAGACACAGTTTGTACAGGTATATACGGAGACACAGTTTGTACAGATAAATACATAGACACAGTTTGTACATGTTTATACGGAGACACAGTTTGTACAGGTATATACGGAGACACAGTTTGTACATGTATATACGGAGACACAGTTTGTACAGGTATATACGGAGACACAGTTTGTACATGTATATACGGAGACACAGTTTGTACAGGTATATACGGAGACACAGTTTGTACATGTATATACGGAGACACAGTTTGTACAGGTATATACGGAGACACAGTTTGTACATGTATATACGGAGACACAGTTTGTACAGGTATATACGGAGACACAGTTTGTACATGTATATACGGAGACACAGTTTGTACAGGTATATACGGAGACACAGTTTGTACATGTATATACGGAGACACAGTTTGTACAGGTATATACGGAGACACAGTTTGTACATGTATATACGGAGACACAGTTTGTACAGGTATATACGGAGACACAGTTTGTACAGGTATATACGGAGACACAGTTTGTACATGTATATACGGAGACACAGTTTGTACAGGTATATACGGAGACACAGTTTGTACATGTATATACGGAGACACAGTTTTTACAGGTATATACGGAGACACAGTTTGTACATGTATATACGGAGACACAGTTTGTACAGGTATATACGGAGACACAGTTTGTACATGTATATACGGAGACACAGTTTGTACAGGTATATACGGAGACACAGTTTGTACATGTATATACGGAGACACAGTTTGTACAGGTATATACGGAGACACAGTTTGTACATGTATATACGGAGACACAGTTTGTACAGGTATATACGGAGACACAGTTTGTACATGTATATACGGAGACACAGTTTGTACAGGTATATACGGAGACACAGTTTGTACATGTATATACGGAGACACAGTTTGTACAGGTATATACGGAGACACAGTTTGTACATGTATATACGGAGACACAGTTTGTACAGGTATATACGGAGACACAGTTTGTACATGTTTATACGGAGACACTGTTTGTACAAGTATATACGGAGACACAGTTTACACGGAGACACAGTTTGTACATGTATATACGGAGACACAGTTTGTACATGTTTATACGGAGACACAGTTTGTACATGTTTATACGGAGACACAGTTTGTACATGTTTATACGGAGACACAGTTTGTACATGTTTATACGGAGACACAGTTTGTACATGTTTATACGGAGACACAGTTTGTACATGTTTATACGGAGACACAGTTTGTACATGTTTATACGGAGACACAGTTTGTACATGTTTATACGGAGACACAGTTTGTACATGTTTATACGGAGACACAGTGTGTACAGGTATATACGGAGACACAGTTTGTACAGGTATATACCGAGACACAGTTTGTTCAGCATATTTTCTATTTTCCAGATTGGCCTGTTTTATGGATTCTCTGTCTCCTCTTTGAGCATCTGTGGGTTAGCTACTGGCTACACGGGAACAGGAATTGGCCTATGTGTGAACCAAGTCTGTGCTAAAGATGGTAGCCCTGTCGTTATTATCCTTCTGTCCGTATCACTGGTGTTCATAGTAGGCATGTTTGTCTGTGGAATATGCGGGATGGTTTTCTTCTTTTGGTACAGGAACGCATTCCAAATGTACTCCCCTGGATACCGTGCAAAACTCATGCAGCAGCAGCTGAACGGCCTTCAGAACCAGCTAAACCAACAACAGGGTGTCACTAACTATGGAGGAATCCAGTATGGTGGACAGGAGAACGGCGGCTATACCAACTGGAATGCCCCTCCACCTCCAACATACAGCGAAAAGGCTTAAACGCATCACCAGTATAAACATCGTCAGTCCTGTGTCTATTTTAACAGTAATATAAAGAAAATCTTAGTGAAAGTGTTTTTGGATAAATTAACAAGTAACCGAAATACGGTGAAACCTAAAGTGACTGACAGCACAATTAAAGGATATGTATTAGCTGTCTTAAATATTGACCTTAATCTTCCATTTTGGTATTTCTTGTTACAATGCTACAAAGTTCTCAGTTCTGAGGTATTTGCAGTATTATCTGCCTACGTGACCTTTCTGTGCGTTCTGCGAATACAATACCCGGGATTGTTACATCTTTATATTGACACGTGCTGACAATAACCGATGAGCTTATTGTGATATATGCTTTGCTAATTTGTATTATTAATTTTGTCAGGATGTGTATGTCAATTTGTTCCGATGTTTTGTCAGGCAGTTTTGAAATCACAAGAATAATATCTAAAAAGGATTATTTCTTATCGTTTTCATCCTTTTCGAGAAAAACTAGAAACGTAAGGAATAGCCTATCAACTACATGTCGTACAGGAAAAACCACGTAATAGCCAATCAAACTATCCAGCGCAGCTAATAGCCAATCAAACTATCCAGCGCAGCTAATAGCCAATCAAACTATCCAGCGCAGCTACTTGGCAGTAAAGACCCGATGCATTATGTTTACTTTTTATAGTCAGGTTACTAATCCACTCAAAAAAAAGAGCGCAAATATCTATAAGTTTGTACCTGCTGAAGTGTCCAATTAACATATTAATTACTAGTATACATATAACAATGTATCCTGGCATTGTTTTATGTCAGCAATTAGTTCAAAGAGTGCGACTACGTTTGAACTAAATTTAAAGTTTCCTGGCAGACGAGGGTTTATTACCGCCGTTAGATCAACGTTTGACGGACCTCTAAACATATTTTTGAAATAAGCGTAATTATGTTGAGATTTATATCCAGGGTAGCCCTTTTTGAAAATGTTCGTTGTCCTTGTCAAAATTGGTGTTAAATGTTTTGTATTTGAATTAAAGGAAAGACACTTCACAACGGCTTTTAATACCGCATCTGGCAATTTTGGGATTCTGGCAAAATCTGCTCTGTAGTATGAGAGGAGAGCTGCAACATAATTTGTATGATTGTTTTTCATCAAGTGCTAAGAAAGCTACCACTACACATTTGCAGAAACCTGTTCAGTAGTTTGAGAGGAGATGTCGTTTAAAACAAATAAGCGACACCCTTTTTGTAAATCACACGATCCTCATGGGCTCACCAGGCTACCATCACAATGTGGAGTCGTTTGGGGGAAGATGGCGTTCAAAGCAAACAAACCAATGTGACACCACTTTTCACCACACCCCTCAGCCTCAAGGATAGTCAGTCCCAGTATTTGTATAACAAGAGGCCCAATGGGCCTTACTCGCTCACCTGGTATTAATCTCACACTTGTAATCTTAAAAGTGGACTAAAATGCAGCCAGAGGAAGAATATCAGTGTTTGATTCATAAGAGCCTATTAAAAAAATTAAACATATGACGTCTGTGACCTTGAATGTCGAACAAGGACATTAGGTTGAACAGAGTTTAAAGTCTTCCAACCCAGCATACTTTTGGCAAATATCATAACCCTGGACCTATTGGTTATACAGAACAAGTCTTTTAAAGATTTAAACATATATTGACCACTGTGACCTTGAATATGGGCGAAGGTCATTCATTTTGACAAAAGTGGTAGCCCTATATCCCAGCCTGTTAATGACCAAATATCATCGGCCCCTGTGACCTTGAATATATGTAAAGGTCATTCATTTGAATAAACTTGGTTGCCCTTTATCCCAGCATGCTGCTGGCCAAATATCATCATCCTAAGACTTTCGGTTATTGAGAAGAAGTTATTTTAAGGTTTTAAACATATTTAACCCCTGTGACCTTGAAAATGGACGGAGTCATTCATTTGAACAAACTTGGTAGTCCTTAATCACAGCATGCTACTGGCCAAATATCTAACCCTATGCCTTTTAGTTATTCAAAAGAAGTTGTTTAAAGGTTTTTAACATATTTGACTCCTGTGACCTTGAAAATGAGTAAAGGTCATTCATTTGAACAAACCTTTTAGCCCTTCATCCTGGCATATTTCTGGCCAAATATCATTATCCTATGCTTTTTAGTTATTCAGAAGAAATTGTTTAAAGATTTGTTAAGATAATTGACCCCTGTGACCTTGAAAATAGACGAAGGTCATTCATTTGAACAGACTTGTTAGCCCTTCATCCTAGCATGTTTCTGGCCAAATATCGTTATCCTAGGCTTTTTAGTTATTCAGAAGAAGCTGTTTAAAGGTTTTACCATATTTAACCCCTGTGGCCTTGAATATCAGTCAAGGTCATTCATTTGAACAGACTTGTTAGCCCTTCATCCTGGCATATTTCTGGCCAAATATCGTAACCCTATGCCTCTTAGTTATTCAAAAGAAGTTGTTTAGAGGTTTTAAACATATTTAACCCCTGTGGCCTTGAATATAAGTCAAGGTCATTCATTTGAACAAACTTGTTAGCCCTTCATCCTGGCATGTTTCTGGCCAAATATCATTATCCTAGGCTTTTTAGTTATTCAGAAGAAATTGTTTAAAGATTTGTTAAGACAATTGACCCCTGTGACATTGAAAATGGACGAAGGTCATTCATTTGAACAAACTTGGTAGAACTTAATCACAGCATGCTACTGGCCAAATGTCGTAACCTTATGCCTCTTAGTTATTCAAAAGAAGTTGTTTAAAGGTTTTTAAACATATTTGACCCCTGTGACCTTGAAAATGAGTAAAGGTCATTCATTTGAACAAACTTAGTAGCCCTTCATCCTGGCATGTTACTGGCCAAATATCATTATCCTAGGCTTCTTTGTTATTCAGTAGAAGTTGTTTAAAGATTTGTTAAGACAATTGACCCCCTGTGACCTTGAAAATAGACGAAGGTCATTCATTTGAACAAACTTGGTAGCCCTTAATCACAGCATGCTACTGGCCAAATATCGTAACCCTATGCCTCTTAGTTATTCAAAAGAAGTTGTTTAAAGGTTTTAACATATTTGACCCCTGTGGCCTTGAATATAAGTCAAGGTCATTCATTTGAACAAACTTGGTATAACTTCTTCCTAGCATGCTACTGGCCAAATATCATTATCCTAAGTCTCTTGGTTATTCAGAAGAAATTGTTTAAAGGTTTTAAACATATTTGACCCATGTGACCTTGAATATAAGTCAAGGTCATTCAATTGAACAAACTTGGTAGCCCTTCATCACAGCATGCTACTGGCCAAATATCATTAGCCTAGGCCTCTTAGTTATTCAGAAGAAGTTGTATAAAGATTTTTAAGACAATTGACCCCTGTGACCTTGAAAATAGACGAAGGTCATTCATTTGAACAAACTTGGTAAAACATCTTCCTAGCATGCTACTGGCCAAATAGCATCATCCTAGGCCTTTTGGTTATTGAGAAGAAGTTGTTTTAAGGTTTTTAACATGTTTGACCCCTGTGACCATGAATGTAAGTAAAGGTAATTCATTTGAACAAACTTGGTAGCCCTTCATTCTAGCATGTTACTGGCCTAATATCATTAACCTAGGCCTCTTAGTTATTCAGAAGAAGCTGTATAAAGATTTTTAAGACAATTGACCCCTATGACCTTGAAAATGGACAAAGGTCATTCATTTGAACAAACTTGGTAGCCCTTCATCCCAGTATGTTACTTGCCAAAATTCATCACTCTGGGCATTTTTGTTATTTAGAAGAAGTTGTTTAAAGTTTTTAACATATTTGACCCCTGTGACCTTGAAAATAGGTAAAGGTCATTCATTTGAACAAACTTGGTAGCCCTTCATCCTAGTTTGCTTCTGGCCAAATATCATCACCCTAGGCCTTTTGGATATTAAGAAGAAGTTGTTTAAAGTAAAATACTGACGCCAGACAACGGACGACGCATGCAGGACAACGGACGACGGACGGACAGACGGACGACGGACGCTGCACCATGGCATAATGGCATTAGCTGCACCATGGCATTAGTTCACCTGGCCTTCAGGCCAGGTGAGCTAACAAACCAATGTGACACCACTTTCCACCACACCCCTCAGCCTCCAGGAGAGTCAGTCTCAGTATTTGTATAACAAACCAATGTGACACCACTTTCCACCACACCCCTCAGCCTAAAGGAGAGTCAGTTCCAGTATTTGTATAACAAACCAATGTGACACCACTTTCCACCACAACCCTCAGCCTCAATGAGAGTCAGTCCCATTATTTGTATAACAAACCAATGTGACACCACTTTTCACCACACCCCTCGGCCTCAAGGAGAGTCAGTCCCAGTATTTGTATAACAAACCAATGTGACACCACTTTCCACCTCACCCCTCAGCCTAAAGGAGAGTCAGTCCCAGTATTTGTATAACAAACCAATGTGACACCACTTTCCACCTCACCCCTCAGCCTAAAGGAGAGTCAGTCCCAGTATTTGTATAACAAACCAATGTGACACCACTTTCCACCTCACCCCTCAGCCTAAAGGAGAGTCAGTCCCAGTATTTGTATAACAAACCAATGTGACACCACTGTTCACCACACCCCTCAGCCTCAAGGAGAGTCAGTCCCGGTATTTGTATAACAAACCAATGTGACACCCCTTTCCACCACCCCCCCCAGCCTAAAGGAGAGTCAGTTCCAGTATTTGTATAACAAACCAATGTGACACCACTTTCCACCTCACCCCTCAGCCTAAAGGAGAGTCAGTCCCAGTATTTGTATAACAAACCAATGTGACACCACTGTTCACCACACCCCTCAGCCTCAAGGAGAGTCAGTCCCATTTTTTGTATAACAAACCAATGTGACACCACTTTCCACCACACCCCTCAGCCTAAAGGAGAGTCAGTCCCAGTATTTGTATAACAAACCAATGTGACACCACTGTTCACCACACCCCTCAGCCTCAAGGAGAGTCAGTCTCAGTATTTGTATAACAAACCAATGTGACACCACTTTCCACCACACCCCTCAGCCTCAAGGAAAGTCAGTCCCGGTATTTGTATAACAAACCAATGTGACACCACTTTCCACCACACCCCTCAGCCTAAAGGAGAATCAGTCCCAGTATTTGTATAACAAACCAATGTGACACCCCTTTCCACCACACCCCTCAGCCTAAAGGAGAATCAGTCCCAGTATTTGTATAACAAACCATTGTGACACCACTTTCCACCACACCCCTCAGCCTAAAGGAGAGTCAGTCCCAGTATTTGTATAACAAACCAATGTGACACCACTTTCGACCACACCCCTCAGCCTCAAGGAGAGTCAGTCCCAGTATTTGTATAACAAACCATAGTGACACCACTTTCCACCACACCCCTCAGCCTCAAGGAGAGTCAGTTCCAGTATTTGTATAACAAACCAATGTGACACCACTTTCCACCACACCCCTCAGCCTTAAGGAGAGTCAGTCCCAGTACTTGTATAACTATCTATACTCATGCTCTTCTAATGCTATGACCACATGTACAATTTAAAGTGGTCAGTTAATTTGACAAAAAATAAATATCAATTTTAACGTAATGTTTATCAATTTATTCTCAGTTACATGAGATTTGATTCTCCATGGTACTCGTGGTATTATCAGCAAATGGGACCAACATCAAAACACCATTTTAAAATGTTATACATGCAAAATAATTACAATAATAATAATAATACATTTAGTCAATTTAGGTAGCACAAGTCTTGTTTGTTATGTTTTGTTTCCTAAAAATATGTTTATGTAGAAGTTATTTGTATCAGCATAATTAAAGATTTACAAAAACACTAGTTCAGTGCTTTTTATTAATGAAGAATTAACCAATGTAAAGTTGAGTCCTCCATAATGTTTCTATGTTTGTTTCGTGTAACCAATATTCACCCAAACAAGACGTTTGATATTCCTGTAAAAGCGATTGGCTACCTTAAACACTTTGTCTGTGATTGGCTACCTTAAACACTTTATCCGTGATTGGCTACCTTAAACACTTTATCTGTGATTGGCTACCTTAAACACTTTGTCTGTGATTGGCTACCTTAAACACTTTGTCTGTGATTGTTGTTACAGTTATCTTTCCTTGTATGTTTCACAACTTACACATTATACCTCAGTAGCCTCAAGTTCTATCAAATTTTAAAACTGCTCGGGTGGCTATTCCCTATCCTATACACCCCTGGGCATGAAAGAGTCTTATATAACACACCATGATGTGCCTTAAAGTGTGTTATCCAGCACTATATAATAATGAAGTAATACATGTGTTATCAATCTTTGCATTATTGTGGGGTTTTTTTCAATCGCTTCATTAATATATAAGGGTTTATATCTAATTACCAATATCCCATGAACCAAGATGACAAAATATAATACTTTCTTAGCATGCAAGTGTTTGGAGGCAATGTCTGCATTACATCCTATTGACAACTATGGTCATTTAAGGACGTGCCAGACTTTAGTGGGGAAGGAAAGCCGGAGTTCCCGGAGAAAAACCCCGGACCAATGGCCAGAACCTGGCTACTGTTCTACGTAGGTCTCGAACCCGCTACCCAGTGGTGGAGGGCTATTCGAAGCAGAATGTCAGATGCCTTAAACACTTGGCCACCACGGCCCCATTACATGCATTTTTTTTCTTGAAAGTGCAAACTTAAATGTTCTTTTAAAGGGTGGGGCTATCCTTAAACAGGATAACCGGATTGGATAATCAAACTACTGGTAACGAATCAGTAAAACCACTTAAACATACAAACAATTTACTAGAATAACCCTAAACTAAGTCAGACATTTGCATGTGTCTAATCATGGAAAGCCTTCGAATCGGAAGTACATGTTACAGAAAGGAAACACATGCTAAAAGTGTAATTAACCCAGTTCAGTAGCTACAATGTACAATGACAACATGTTCAATGAGACTACTCTTTGCAGTGTCTCACTATTGTCAATAAGAAGTTGTGAACTTTCTACAGCAAGTAGAAAGAATAGCTCTGTTTTAAGTTGTTCTCTCCATTTTGTGTTTATGTTCTGCTTCAATAAGAAATGTCAGGTTGTCCTGTCTATCTGTTGGCGCACACTCTACAGGCTTTCTGTTCTTGGAATCCAAAACAGTGGTACTACTGGGACAGTGAGCTACAATCATCTTCATCACAGTTGTCTTCCCCTGTTCTACAGCCTGTTAATGTAAAATATAGTTTCCTTAGAGAATCCCTTTAGATTTATAAAAAATGGTTTTGGTAAATACATCACAATATCAACTGTCTCAACAAACTGCTTTAGATCCATGGTACAAAATGTACCGCGCTTCTATATTTTCTTACCATACATGTACTAGCTGCTATCTAAAATATTCTGGCCAAGTACATGAAGTAATTATATCCAGTAGGTTATTATATAATAATAATGTACTTAAATATTTACTTTAGGTAAAAACAATCACCTGATCCTTTGAAATGTTGGGAACACTAAAGCTTGTCAACACTAACTAATTTACTTTTAAACAAAATGTAAATTGTTATTTAAACCCAATCTCTCCAAGAATACAATGCAGTCCCCAGCCATGAACATACATGTTGCTTAGCTGTAGATCACGCATATAAAATATCTGACAAAGGAATCTGGGTAGAGATTAGTTTTAAGCCAGTTTCTTATATCTATGTTGACTACAAACGTATGTTAAAAAGATTGATCTTCTGGATTTAATACCAGTAACCTTGATATAAGAAACCTTTTTATCCCTATCGCACATCTATAAATCACAGTGTATCATATATCAAATTTCAGAAACATTTACTCTTTTGGATTTTGATATATTCTCTGGAAACAAGTGCTGACGGACGGACAGACAGACAGACGTACACCATGATCATTTTGGAGCACCAACATCCCCACATCTGAGGTGTGGGGCTATAAGAAATAAAGACTCCACTGGCAGTTTGTACGGAAGGTCCAGAAGGAAGAGACCCAATCACTGGCAGTTTGTACGGAAGGTCCAGAAGGAAGAGACACAAGCACTGGTAGTTTGTACGGAAGGTCCAGAAGGAAGAGACACAATTACTGGCAGTTTGTACGGAAGGTCCAGAAGGAAGAGACACAATCACTGGCAGTTTGTACGGAAGGTCCAGAAGGAAGAGACACAATCACTGGCAGTTTGTACGGAAGGTCCAGAAGGAAGAGACACAATCACTGGCAGTTTGTACGGAAGGTCCAGAAGGAAGAGACACAATAATCAATCTAATTAAAATTATATCTTCACATCGCTCCCGTTTACTGATATGTCGCGTTGAAGATCTAACAACATCCCGTAGAGGGTCATGTTCAGGCGACCTTTGCATTAACCAATCAGATGAGAGCTTACGCATTTCTGTAAGTGATGATGTAATGATTCCGGAACACACTTGCAATGATAAAAGACCGAGAGGTGTCAATTGAGCATCGAAGATGGCGGCGCCCATGACAACACGCCGTGTCTATCTACAAGACAACGTTTGTACAATTTGTGGATTTTGCTTTGAAATAAGAGAGACTTCCTCTTCTGGTGATGTCGTCGTTAATAAGTTTAACAACCTGAAACTACAATTAACCAATGACAGGCTTCACAATATTCAAACTATCACTGGACCAGACGAAAAAGTGGATTTTGGGCTACGAGGTGTCTGCATTAAATGCTTCAGGTCCTGCTTTCTGATTGGTTGAAAGAAAGAGTTATGTCGCGTTTTGATTGGCTTGTTATAAAAACGATAATGTAGTCATGTTGACCTCTGACGTGACCCTCTATGGGATGTTGTTAGATCTTCAACGCGACATATCAGTAAACGGGAGCGATGTGAAGATATAATTTTAATTAGATTGCACAATCACTGGCAGTTTGTACGGAAGGTCCAGAAGGAAGAGAAACAATCACTGGCAGTTTGTACAGAAGGTCCAGAAGGAAGAGACACAATCACTGGCAGTTTGTACAGAAGGTCCAGAAGGAAGAGACACAATCACTGGCAGTTTGTACGGAAGGTCCAGAAGGAAGAGACACAATCACTGGCAGTTTGTACGGAAGGTCCAGAAGGAAGAGACACAATCACTGGCAGCCCTTTCACATGGTTGGATGACACATTCAGTGACAGTCAAAACCACATGTGCAAGATCGCACAAAAATCATGTACATTTTGTACATCTGTGGATGAAGAAGATCAACACCTCAGGCCTCTTTAGGGGAGTACTGGGAAAATGGCTGCCACTGGATGCCAGAAGATGGTAAATGGGTTACTGATGAAATACTTCAATAGGTACCAGTGACTGATACTCAAATTCAAAACTTCTGACACCATGTCCAATCAGCCTAAAACGTACACTCTCTTTGTTATTTCACAGTATTTATTGGATACACACCTTGTGTAATGATATATTATTTCACAGTATTTATTGGATACACCCCTTGTGTAATGTTATATTATTTCACAGGATTTATTGGATACACACCTTGTGCAATGTGATTTCACAGTATTTATTGGATACACCCCTTGTGTAATGTTATATTATTTCACAGGATTTATTGGATACACACGTTGTGTAATGTTATTTCACAGTATTTATTGGAGACACGCCTTGTGCAATGTTATTTCACAGTATTTATTGGATCCACACCTTGTGTAATGTTATTTCACAGTATTTATTGGATACACACGTTGTGTAATGTTTTTTCACAGTATCTATTGGATACACACCTTGTGTAATGTTATATTATTTCACAGTATTTATTGGATACACACCTTGTGCAATGTTATTTCACAGTATTTACTGGATACACACCTTGTGTAATGTTTTTTCACAGTATTTATTGGATACACACCTTGTGTGATGTTATTTCACAGTACTTATTGGATACACACCTTGTGTAATGTTATTTCACAGTGTTTATTGGATACACACCTTGTGTAATGTTATTTCACAGTGTTTATTGGATACACACCTTGTGTAATGTTATTTTACAGTATTTATTGGATACACACCTTGTGCAATGTTTTTTCAGTATTTATTGGATACACACCTTGTGCAATGTTTTTTCAGTATTTATTGGATACACACCTTGTGTATTGTTATTTCACAGTATTTATTGAATACACACCTTGTGTAATGTTATTTCACAGTATATATTGGATACACACCTTGTGTAATGTTATTTTACAGTATTTATTGGATACACACCTTGTGCAATGCTGTCTTGCCATCTTCATCCTGAATTAGAGGGTCTGCTTTATTCTTCAATAGAATACACACCTTGTGTAATGTTATATTATTTCACAGTATTTATTGGATACACACCTTGTGCAATGCTGTCTTGCCATCTTCATCCTGAATTAGAGGGTCTGCTTTATTCTTCAATAGAATACACACCTTGTGTAATGTTATATTATTTCACAGTATTTATTGGATACACACCTTGAGTAATGCTGTCTTGCCATCTTTATCCTGAATTAGAGGGTCTGCTTTATTCTTCAATAGAATACACACCTTGTGTAATGTTATATTATTTCACAGTATTTATTGGATACACACCTTGAGTAATGCTGTCTTGCCATCTTTATCCTGAATTAGAGGGTCTGCTTTATTCTTCAATAGAATACACACCTTGTGTAATGTTATATTATTTCACAGGATTTATTGGATACACACCTTGTGCAATGTGATTTCACAGTATTTATTGGATACACACCTTGTGCAATGTTATTTCACAGTATTTACTGGATACACACCTTGTGTAATGTTTTTTCACAGTATTTATTGGATACACACCTTGTGCAATGTTCTTTCACAGTATTTATTGGATACACACCTTGTGCAATGTTTTTTCAGTATTTATTGGATACACACCTTGTGCAATGTGATTTCACAGTATTTATTGGATACACACCTTGTGCAATGCTGTCTTGCCATCTTCATCCTGAATTAGAGGGTCTGCTTTATTCTTCAATAGAATACACACCTTGTGTAATGTTATATTATTTCACAGTATTTATTGGATACACACCTTGAGTAATGCTGTCTTGCCATCTTTATCCTGAATTAGAGGGTCTGCTTTATTCTTCAATAGAATACACACCTTGTGTAATGTTATATTATTTCACAGGATTTATTGGATACACACCTTGTGCAATGTGATTTCACAGTATTTATTGGATACACACCTTGTGCAATGCTGTCTTGCCATCTTCATCCTGAATTAGAGGGTCTGCTTTATTCTTCAATAGAATACACACCTTGTGTAATGTTATATTATTTCACAGTATTTATTGGATACACACCTTGAGTAATGCTGTCTTGCCATCTTTATCCTGAATTAGAGGGTCTGCTTTATTCTTCAATAGAATACACACCTTGTGTAATGTTATATTATTTCACAGTATTTATTGGATACACACCTTGTGTGATGTTATTTCACAGTATTTATTGGATACACACCTTGAGTAATGCTGTCTTGCCATCTTTATCCTGAATTAGAGGGTCTGCTTTATTCTTCAATAGAATACACACCTTGTGTAATGTTATATTATTTCACAGTATTTATTGGATACACACCTTGTGCAATGTTATTTCACAGTATTTATTGGATACACACCTTGTGTAATGCTGTCTTGCCATCTTCATCCTGAATTAGAGGGTCTGCTTTATTCTTCAATAGAAGGGAGACAATCTCCTCATGTCCACAGTATGCAGCTCGATGAAGGGGGGTAACTCTTCCAGACTTGGTCATAGAGTTAGGATTAGCACCATGTTTCAGGAGCAACTCACACACTGCTTTCCTCCCATGTCTGCATGCATAATGCTACAATAAAGAAACTGAATTTGTAAAAGTCATTAGAAATACAAAACATGACAACTAAAACATTATACTGACAATAGGAGAATGTATTTCACAGAATTAACGTACAATGTAGATAGACAAAGTATTTTTTTTAAATTCCAAGTTTAAAGAAAAAGAAAATATTTTATTTGAGAAGTCGTTTTTTCATTTAATTAATTAGTTATGAGATTGAGCAGACGCCAACTGATGCGATACATAGTCTGTATCAAAAATAGAATTTGGGCCATTTCGCTCTCAAACTTATTATTTTGCCCTAAATCCAGTTCACCCAAGGTTGTTTCACCCTAATATATATATTTTTATATATATTTTTGATGATTAATAAACTTACTATTTTCATGATTCATGAACAATTGTACATTGTACTTGTATTGTCTGAAGAATTTAAGGTGTATGCTATGTGCAGATTGTGTCAACATTTCCGGGTTGTTTCACCTTAGGTTGTTTCGCGCTAAAGAAATTAAGGGCGAAACATTGTTTGGTACTTTCTTTACATTTTTATTTGTTTTAAGTCACAAATTAAGTCTTCTTAGTCTTTCATATCATTAAAATCAGTTTTATTAAAAAAAATGTGTTTGGGTTGTTTTTAAGTACATTGTAAAGCAAAAAACAGAATACGTTATTTTCTTCACACCGAAACACATTATAACATATACTGAATTTAATTTTAGAAATAAATAAGAAAAGTGTCAAAATGAAACAAAAATGGTGTAATTTTGTGTAATTTTAATTACATTTCGGGATACAACAATATTATTTTTCCATGTTAACACATTTAGTCTAGTGTACACATAATCGTCACCATGTGAGAATTATTTACATTTTGTATAAGTCTCTAAAGTATTAATTTATTTACATTCTTATACGCATTTGTACTTATAATATATGTCCATTTCGTATACGTAGTCTTTGATATAAAGTGGCTGACGTGACAAGGTGCTTTTTAGTTGTTAATATCATTTTAGAAGTTGTATAAGTATTACTAGTTTACATTTTTAACGTTAAAACATGTAGTCTGTACAGGTGCTTTTTATAAAGAACAACATTACTTAATTAAGGTAATGAAATGAAAATGATAATATACAGTATATTCCGGATATTAGTATGTCCGTTGTCGGCTTCGGTGATGAATATACAGGTTCGTTCTTCATCTTCCGGCACGTAATTATATCTTGATTCAAGAGAAAGAGAAGTTTTTTTCACTTTTAACATGATATTTAATCTGTTCTTGACTTAAAGAAAAAATAAAATTTTAGGGCGAAACAACCTAGGGAGAACGGGATTTGGGGAGAAACAACCCTTCGGGCGAACGGGATTTGGGGCGTAACAAACCGTTACCGTGTCAATTATCAACCCAACCGCCCATAACAAAACTAGACAAAAAAGGCCAGTTAACATTTATTATAGAAATCAACATTATTCACAAGAAAATGGGTGCAGTGCCAAATGTATATAAAGACGATATTAATTGGTTCCAGAAGATAAAGTCCATATCAAGTAAATAGGAAACCAATTAACTGTGTCACATATATGTAAATTCACAAATATTAAGGCACTGCACCCATAAATATCATACAGTGATGCAAAATTTATATCAAGAAGTACATCATTTGTCCTATATAATATCAGTATACTCACTACATGCAGATGTATTACAGGTACATCTACAGGTACCTCACTCCTACTTGTACACCACTCTCCTTCACATACTGATACATTTTAAACTGAGACAACATTTATAATACAAATATTACACTCAAAAGCCTAATTTATCCCAGTGAAAAAGGGGGTAAATCCTAATAAATAAACCCGCGTCCACTAGCTATACCTTTCACACTTATATATACAAAATGCTTTCGAAAAGGATTCAATGACATGTAGGGCGGGAGGGCGGTAAATTGTGACAAGACTCGAATATGTCGAAAGAAAGAATGGACAGTTTGGCGCCAACACCTAAATACCAGCTGGGAGCGGAGCCGAAGTGACCACTAGCTCATAGGGATTGACCAATCGGACGGGGGGGACTGAACTGTAATCACAGTGAACTAGCCAGGGGTCAGAAATCTGACCAGGGACGTAAGGAGATAATTAAAAGATTTGAGAGACGACAAATCGCCACAACCATGTATGTGTAGCAGAAGTGGATTAGGTCGATCATTGACGACTAAGTAGCTCAATTGGTACAGCTACCTGGTCGTGAAGTTACGTCCTAAAAATATATATTAGGGGAACAACACAGTGTGAAATGACTTAGGACAAACAGAGTGTATAGTGAAATGACCCAACACCCCATAAATAACTCTATATTCAGATCATAGTCCAAATAACTGGTTGTTATTATCTTTTTTTAATTGATGATCCAGAAATATTTTTGCCCCAACCATTTTGTTACATGTGTTATTCTGTTATAAAATATACTTTGATTCTACTATCCTGTAACCCTGTCCACAACACTGAAATATGTAAATATGTACACTACATTTTAGAAGTCTCAATCTGGTCAAAATACATGTAATCATGTATGTTTGTCTAGCAGGGATCAAAGGATTTCTGACTAGCTCTTTAAGTAAATATTTAAAATTATTTTTTTACCAAACCTTCATCATTTGTACTAACTTGTGGACCTTCTCAAACAGTTAAATTGAAGCCACTGAGCATCTAATCTATTTCCGTGCTAACAACAGACAATAACAGATACAAGGCCGAACCGACAGGTACCTATTACTACCCAGACAAATATATTATGTCGTACATCACAACACAATATCACACACCAGAGCTGTATAACCAGAGTTATCAGTAAGATTTGGAGAATCCCCTTTCAATAAATGTTTCTCAACGTCGTCAACATCTCCATCAAGCGCAGATGTCCATATCCCTCTTCTAAAATCCAGCTCATCAAGTGTCTGGTGGACAGATGGAGTAGCAAAATGTCCCGAACATGAATGTGAGTTGTTCGACATTGTCCATATTTTGTAATGTTGTTTAAGTACCGATTAAATTTAGTTATAAATCATACCGATACCGTCAATGATCGTCAATAGTTGTTTATATTTGAATACATTTCTTTCCGCAAAACATAGAAGAGCTCCGATGTAAAGGCGCATTCGATAAGGACGTAAAATTTTGTTTCTTGAAAGGTAACATTCATTATTACATTGTATCCATGCAAGCTTTCACGAACCAGAGACGTATATATTACATGATATATACGTCTCTGCATGAACAAACCTTTATGATATCACATATTTTCAGCAGACATTGCTCGTTAGATATATCATAATATGAGATATCACAATGATTGTTTAATTAAGTCTTTAATGCATAAGATGATTTATATTTCCAACTTGGGTCCCTTGGATAGATAAAAACGTTTAAGATATCAAACTAGCTGCATTTATAACTTATTAAATTAATATATGATATCACGGCCTAATTAGATCTAATCTAATTCCGTGATGATATGAACATAACGGATATGGAAAATAAATATAAAAATGGTGCTAAATTTTAGATTGTATCCAGTACCACATCTTATTAAAAAATTAATAAAAAGTAATTAATTAGAAACTATAAGCTGCTTACAAAAGTGTACTAGTCTAGATTATAATATTACGTCCCTCAGAGGGGTGCTTTGGTTAATCCCAATCGACCAACTTATTTACCGTTAATAATATACTTTTCAATGAAATATTGTTTACACATCAACATGTTATAATCTTCAAAGACCAAAGGAATGCCATTGTACAATGTAATAGCAAACACTACAAAACACAACATATGAACAATCAAATAAAACAATATATCACACAAAAAAAGGTGTGTTCCTCACTTTGCTCATAAATAGGTGCATGGTTGTACTCGTCCTTATTTATGGGACACTCCATTTTGCTTACCTCAGCCTCCAGAGACAATAAACAGAAACTAATACACACTGTCAATGATAAATAAACTTGAGATTGTATGACTCTTAAATAAATTGTACACTATTGACTACAAAATCAGGGTGTTTTTTTGTTCAGATTTGAATTTGAACATCATTTTGTCTAAAGGGAATTGAATTGTTGCAAATATTGTTCGTTCCGGTTTTCGTTGCGTTATATGAGAGAAAAGTAGTTTCTACTCGCAAAATGTTGTGTATATAAAAATAAAATTGACTTGACATCTTGGCTGGTTTTTTTCTTTAAAAATCCTTCTTTCATATAAACATTACTTGAACAATTTTGAAGACACTGATCAGTCTCATTTGACAAATTATGTAGCTTACATTAAGCATATTTAAATTTTCTAACTCCGTAACGATTAAATATTTTTCTCTTTCGGATGTTCCAACATAAAATGAATCATTGGAAAAAAATGCAATGTTTGGACAATAAGAGGATACTCTCTGTCTTAGCGAGATGAAGAGAGAGTTCTATGTAGTTATAAATAAGTCATTACATGATGACAATGAAATTGATTGTGATAATGCTAAATCCATGTCCGTGTGTGTATATGTGAGAATGCGTGAATGTCCTATTTATGTATATGTAATGAAAATCTTGGAAAAATAAAACCATTAAAAAAAAAAAAAACAGTCATTACAGGATTCAAAGCCCTAGTTTATTTATATGATTTATACTTCATTATGTTTGTATCTTTGTGTGAAAACCAAACACGTGACTAATGATTACATGTTGGAAAATATATGTCACTTATCGTGTAGCGTTCACTGATATAATGACAAAACAAATTGAATTATTCAAATTAGAATATTTAAATAAAGAATTTTCAGATGGAATTTATATTGATTGTGACTCGGTTGTATTTGCATTTCTTGAATGTTATGCAATGTTTTCCAAAAGTGCCTTAATTATTTTACAGTTTTTACAATTAAACACAGTTGTGTTGCATCTTCATTCAAATTCTTCATTTTTCACTGGCCTATTGCATATTTCTAAAAAACGTTTTGTCTTTGAATTTCTCTCATATCTTCATAGCGTCCATATGTCAATTTGTTATAACACCAAACAGGATGCCTTTGAAATGACATGTATATATCAAGGTCGTGGCATGTAGGAGAGCCACCTACTAACACGGGGCTACAATCAACAAAATGCAGACACACATATGTGGTTTGTCAAACTACATGTCCGGATGTTTTAAGAAGATATGGAGAGACATAGCCACCAGAACATAAAACTAACCAGATTTACAGTCGTTACCACGACACTCCACTCACTCCTCCAGCGATATTAATTGCTATTTATAAAAATAAGATAATTACAACATTGTTTGCCAACATTTAAAAAACATTAATATACACTTTATTTATTTTACAACAATTATGAAACAAGTTACTTGAACTTATATCAATCCCTCTTGTTAGTTCGGATGTTATATCTAGCGGGGGAACTTACTGTTGGGGGAAACCGCAGTACCCTGCGAGATCCACGGCGCCATTTTAGCCAACATTTTAGAGATATCCATGTATTTTTTCAACTGTTGAGTTGACATATGTGATGGTGTTTCTCAGGGGTCGGTTCTTGAACCGCTGCTCTTTCTTGTTAATAGAAACGTTGTGTTATTTCCTCACATATTGTCTTACGTTAAATATTGGTATATGCTCTGAGCTCTGATCGATTAGAGGGTTTAACTGACGGGACATTGTGTGATTCTGGTTCATTTGGCTGAAACTGGACTAGGTCCTGCTTGTTCAAACGCTGTTCACACAAATAATACATTAATTCGCAAGGGATATCAATGTACACTATACATGCATGTACAATGTTCACTTCGTGAAGCCTGTGGTCTTCAAAATGCACTTGCTTATAACTTATTTAATTTCAATGTCAAATAATTTTATTGTCAAAAGACAAATGGATTGGGCAACAGGCGTATGCTATTCAATCCCTCTCCAACACAATAACAAACGACGGTACAAGCATAGACATAAACATTAAAACACACACATAAACATGTAAACAGGTTGATGTTATCATATAAAGAACTAAGAAAAGGAAACAACAACTAAACCCTGTATTTTATAAGTTATTTCTATTGTTTTAATCTTTAACCTTTCATTTTGGTTTACAGAAAAAACATTTGTACAAATATGTTCACCGTATTAAGAAAAGGAAGGACCTTGAGTTAAGGATTGAGTCTTGCTTTGGTCGATTCCATGGGATAATGAATTGAGTTGGTCTTAAAACAAATTTAATCATATGAATTGCGACACGCTAAATACGCACATTGTTTGTGTATCAAGCAAAACTAGGCAAGCATTTATTCCTAATAAAAACAATAGAGTCTTGCAATTGGTTTCTTGTTTCTCTATTGACCTCTCTGTTGATTGACCTCTCTTTTGACCTAATTGTTCAAAACGCTGATGACTTTTATGTCGAAGCGGTTGGTTCGACTGTTCAGTCTAGCTCTGCTTTTTACCTTGTATTTATGTCTTCATGTCTTTCGTCATCTCGACAGAAAAACGGCGTGCACATTTGATTGATTCAATCATTTGATTATTACCATTATAAATGATAATATGATATATAATGTATTCTTTTTAGCGCAAAATGAAAATGTAACAAAATAATTAATTTTAGTGCATAATTGATATTTATTAATTATAAATGCGTCCTCGATCTATACATGTATTACTATATTCCTCAATATTGTATTGATTAATATGTATGCTAATTGTATTGACTGTATAAAATTGTATATCTATGTACTGTAAAGCGCTTTAGAGTGTCTTATGTTAGCTAGATAGGGCGCTATATCAAATGTTGTTGTATAATATATCAGATTCATATCACAACGTATCGACCTCGACAAAAGTCACTTATGTTTATATTACATATCAGTCTTCAGATAACAAGAGCTATTGGATATCCAAATTGTGAGAATCAAATGGTGGATTTTAGAACGAAATATTCGGATCTAAAGTTAGAACAATGATGTCGATATTGTCACGTGTAAGACAAAAATAGAAACATTTGGTCGATATGCTATATATTAGCGAGCCTGAGACCAAGGATTAGCCAATTACACTGTAGAATATTTATCCGTTATGGACTTTTGTCGAGGTGAACATGTGGTTTTATGAACCGGAAAAAGTGATAAGAACCGATACAAATTCGATGTCAATTTCATTTTCTAGGGTACATATAACCACACATTTACCAAAATAAAAGTCTTTAATTGCTCTGTTGAAGGCTAATTAATGTTTTAATTATCAAAAAAAGATAGAACGTATGAAAACTGTACAGCGAAATGTATTGCATTGCGACGATACAATTGAAATGACGTCATAAAATGAATATTAACCTGATGATGCTGAAAATAGTAACACCGAATAAATATCACAATATACCGACCTCCACGCGATTTTGATCAAATAATTGAGGATGTAAGGGCAAATTTTTCATCTAATCTTTAGTATGACCAATGGATAGTATATTGGTTTTAGCTATGGTGTCATGGTCATTGTATCACTAATGCATATTTTTTTAAATGGAGTCTGTCTCTCATATTCGTATCACTATTTATATAATGTTTTAGAAAAGTCTCTAAAAGCTCTGTTAGAGTGAATTTTAGCCATTTTAGTATGTTATGGTTTTGATGGCAGTTTATAAAAAACATTATTGAGAGGCGAGACTCCATAGACTATTTATATGTGTATGACAGCACTGACCCGTCGTATGACACCACTGACCCGTCGTATATGTGTATGACAGCACTGACCCGTCGTATGACACCTCTGTCCCGTCGTATATGTGTATGACAGCACTGACCCGGCGTATATGTGTATGACAGCAATGACCCGTCGTATATGTGTATGTCAGCACTGATCCGTCGTATATGTGTATGTCAGCACTGACCCGCCGTATATGTGTATGGCAGCACTGACCCGTCGTATATGTGTATGACAGCACTGCCCCGTCGTATATGTGTATGACAGCACTGATCCGTCGTAAATGTGTATGTCAGCACTGACCCGTCGTATATGTGTATGTCAGCACTGATCCGTCGTATATGTGTATGACAGCACTGATCCGTCGTAAATGTGTATGTCAGCCCTGACCCGTCGTATATGTGTATGGCAGCACTGACCCGTCGTATATGTGTAGGGCAGCACTGATCCGTCGTATATGTGTATGACAGCACTGATCCGTCGTAAATGTGTATGTCAGCACTGACCCGTCGTATATGTGTATGGCAGCACTGACCCGTCGTATATGTGTATGACAGCACTGACCCGTCGTATATGTGTATGACAGCAATGACCCGTCGTATGACAACACTGACCTGTCATATGACAGCACTGACCCGTCGTATATGTGTATGACAGCACTGACCCGTCTTATATGTGTATGACAACACTGACCCGTCGTATATGTGTATGACAACACTGACCTGTCGTATATGTGTATGACAACACTAACCCGTCGTATATGTGTATGACAACACTGACCAGTCGTATATGTGTATGACAACACTGACCCGTCGTATATGTGTATGACAGCACTGATCCGTCGTAAATGTGTATGTCAGCACTGACCCGTCGTATATGTGTATGGCAGCACTGACCCGTCGTATATGTGTATGACAGCACTGACCCGTCGTATATGGGTATGTCAGCACTGATCCGTCGGATATGTGGATGACAACACTGACCCGTCGTATATGTGAATGACAGAACTGATCCGTCGTAAATGTGTATGTCAGCCCTGACCCGTCGTATATGTGTATGACAGCACAGACCCGTCGTATATGTGTATGACACCACTGACCCGTCGTATATGTGTATGGCAACACTGATCCGTCGTATATGTGTATGTCGGCACTGATCCGTCGTATATGTGTATGGCAGCACTGACCCGTCTTATATGTGTATGACAACACTGATCCGTCGTATATGTGTATGACAGCACTGACCCGTCGTATATGTGTATGACTGCACTGACCGTCGTATATGACCTAGTTGCATTACTTGAAGGGTTCTTGATAAGGCCATGATAAGACTAAGGAATACATGTTCTACAATCCCAATAATCGACATTGTGTTTCCTGTAACTGACAGGTAAGTATCCTTTATTGATTTAAACTAAGTATTAGCAATTACATATGTGATTTAGACCATGTATGTAGTTTTTGGTACCCCAACCTGCATAGAAATTTCCATAATTCATTTCAATTCTGTGGTTAACATTTTTAGTATTATTTATATATAGAAATAGACTCTCAGTAACAGGACAACGCCACGATATTGAAACAGTCACGATATTTCGCATGAATTTAGAAACAACAAACCCCGATCGCTACCACCGTTACAGTGATGACATTACAGTGAAAATGAAGTCCCAGTCCCCAGAGAGCGTATATAGGCAAAGCCTGTTGCTCAATCCTTTTGTTTAATCAATAATATATATTTGAAATGAAAAACAGGCCCTAAAAACAATTACCATGGTGGTATGAATGTAATGCGACATTTCCAAGACAGTTTAACACGCTAACATACCAAAACACCACAATGACGTCACCAAATTCTATACATGGACAAGGAGTTAATCTGGATAGCCACTATCACACTGAATGCAGAAGCGCACGATTGAAAAACAGCAAACGGGTCGAACTTTTGCGGACAATTTGTTTTAGGAGATAAAGGTTATTTCTTTTAGGAACCATTATATAGTGTCATCTTGTGGTCATTTTCTGAAGGAAAGGGGAGGAGAAAAAGAAATCTAAATGAAATAAAATCAACTGATATTCCTCACATGGTTAAGCATGCGATTAAGGCGATCGAATGATAGTGGCACTATGAAAAAAAATCAATAATATAAACGAGTAAAATGTAGAAATGATGACCTTTATAATATGTTTATTTTCAAGGGTGTTAATTTTGTGATTCATGTGTGTGTTTTGTGTTTGGATATAATTCGGGTTTTTGAATTTTTGAATTTCCTTCAGACAAAACAGAATAATCAATGTCATTTTTAATTGTAGTTTTACGTGAATTTGTAAGTTACTTTACTCCAAGCATTATGTTTCCGGATAGTTTTTTCAATTATTAAGGTATAACAGTGACATGGCCTATCAAAGTTATTCTTTATATATTTAGATAAATGTAACGTTAGTGAAAAAAGTAATTCTTTTAGATATTTACAATCACCGCAACATATATTACAGTTGTTAAGATAAATAAATATTTCAAAAAATGTTACTTACCTGAATTAACAATCGTTTGCTTTTCACTATTTCGGTATTTTTTATACAGGTAATAAGAAAAACGTTGGGGATGGATTGGGTGTTTAATATGACGGGCAATTAAACCGTATTATTTGGAGAGACTGACAATTTATTTCTAGGATATAAATTGTAAAACGAGTACCCTTTTCCAATCCATTTAAATGAGAAATGCTCTAACTCGCAGCTACTAAAGTCCATTTTATTGATATCATTGAAAACGCACCGTGTTAGGTTTCAGCTGTTTATGACGTCATTGATAGTTTACCATCTTACATGTACATGTGAGACAGAACGTGATTTCGTTGTGGTAAAATGTCGGTTCTAGCGATTTTCATTTATATAAATGATACTTTATAAGTATTAAAATATCAGTCCTTTGTAAAGTTTTTTACACCGTATTAATGTTAAGTAACAAGGATCTGTCTACCTGTGCAATACAATACAGAACTATTTAATACACGAGTATTGATTCGTAAACAGATTTTAATATGTATATGATAAACGTTATAGAACCTATAAATAATGTGGAATTACCCTATATGAATTATATAAACCTACAATAGACGTACAGTGTAAAATAACCCTATATGAATTATATAAACTTACAAGGTATGTACAGTGTAAAATAACCCTATATGAATTATATAAAATTACAATGTATGTACCGTGTAAAATAACCCTATATGAATTATATAAACCTATAATGTATGTACAGTGTAAAATAACCCTATATGAATTATATAAACTTTCAATGTATGTACCGTGTAAAATAACCCTATATGAATTATATAAAATTACAATGTATGTACCGTGTAAAATAACCCTATATGAATTATATAAACTTACAAGGTATGTACAGTGTAAAATAACCCTATATGAATTATATAAAATTACAATGTATGTACCGTGTAAAATAACCCTATATGAATTATATAAACTTACAATGTATGTACCGTGTAAAATAACCCTATATGAATTATATAAAATTACAATGTATGTACAGTGTAAAATAACCCTATATGAGTTATATAAACCTACAATGTATGTACAGTGTAAAATAACCCTATATGAATTTTATAAACTTACAATGTATGTACAGTGTAAAATAACCCTATATGAGTTATATAAACCTACAATGTATGTACAGTGTTAAATAACCCTATATGAATTATATAAACCTATAATGTATGTACAGTGTAAAATAACCCTATATGAGTTATATAAACCTACAATGTATGTACAGTGTAAAATAACCCTATATGAATTTTATAAACCTACAATACATTTACAATGTAAAGTAACCCTGTATGCCGTATATAAACCTACAATGTAGAATAACCTTGTATGCAGTATAAAAAGCTACAATATAGAATAACCCTGTATGCCGTATATAATAACCCTATATGAATTATATAAACCTATAATGTATGTACAGTGTAAAATAACCCTATATGAGTTATATAAACCTACAATGTATGTACAGTGTAAAATAACCCTATATGAGTTATATAAACCTACAATGTATGTACAGTGTAAAATAACCCTATATGAATTATATAAACCTATAATGTATGTACAGTGTAAAATAACCCTATATGAGTTATATAAACCTACAATGTATGTACAGTGTAAAATAACCCTATATGAATTATGTAAACCTACAATGTATGTACAGTGTAAAATAACCCTATATGAGTTATATAAACCTACAATGTATGTACAGTGTTAAATAACCCTATATGAATTATATAAACCTATAATGTATGTACAGTGTAAAATAACCCTATATGAGTTATATAAACCTACAATGTATGTACAGTGTTAAATAACCCTATATGAATTATATAAACCTATAATGTATGTACAGTGTAAAATAACCCTATATGAATTTTATAAACTTACAATGTATGTACAGTGTAAAATAACCCTATATGAGTTATATAAACCTACAATGTATGTACAGTGTAAAATAACCCTATATGAATTATATAAACCTACAATGTATGTACAGAGTAAAATAACCCTATATGAATTATATAAACCTACAATACATTTACAATGTAAAGTAACCCTGTATGCCGTATATAAACCTACAATGTAGAATAACCTTGTATGCAGTATAAAAAGCTACAATATAGAATAACCCTGTATGCCGTATATAAACCTACAATGTAGAATAACCCTGTATGCAGTATATAAACCTACAATGTAGAATAACCCTGTATACAGTATATAAACATATGATGTATATACAACGTGAAATAAGTCCCTGTGTATAAAACATTAATTAAATCGACGGTAAACATTTAGGATACGTTCTTAATATATAATCGTGTATACGCATGCACATGTATTTACTCTGTATGTCACAGATATGTATTTAATCATCACTATTTTATAGAAATTGTGTATGTAATCCTTATTTACTTACATAACTAACATAGTGGACCGTCTACAGATAGATGTTAGAGAAGGTTGATTGTTATATTTTATTGTTGACTTTGTGCCATTGCCCTTCCAGGTACCTTACACGGTGTGTACACTAATATCCTATCGAACATTGAACTTATCGGCATGCTGAGGTCAGTCTTACTTATGACCCTGTGTGCGGTCGTCATGGCCATGCCAAGAGACAATGGTTAGTATTCACCTGCATTCTAAAGATAGCACTTGTGTGCAAAAGGTTATCAATAACGTGAATGGTCTAATCAGCACAACTCGTACTGGCGAATCCCGAGGTTCAGAAAACGATTCTCGTTAAACCAACAATCACCATTCCGGTTTGCCTTATTACTGTGTCACTACTTTTCCGGTTGTTCCCCTGCCAGCCACTTCTAATCCGTGTTTCACACTTCTCAGGCACTTTCATTTCAGTAGTCCCTCTATCCAGTCACCACCTTTCCAGTTGTACAACTACCAAGTTGATACCATTCCAGTTCCCCCCTTACCCAGTTATTACATTCCAGTTGCCCCTTTACCACGTCATTACCATTACAGCTGCCCCCTTACCCAGTCATCTACCATTCCAGTTGCCCCCTTACCCAGTCATTACCATTTCAGTTGCCCCTTTACCCAGTCATCTACCATTCCAGTTGCCCCCCTACCCAGTCATTACCATTCCAGTTGCCCCTTTACCCAGTCATTACCATTCCAGTTGCCCCCTTACCCAGTCATTACCATTTTAGTTGCCCCTTTACCCAGTCATCTACCATTCCAGTTGCCCCCTTACCCAGTCATTACCATTCCAGTTGCCCCCTTACCAAGTAATTACCATAACAGTTGCCCCCTTACCCAGTCATTACCATTCCAGTTGCCCCCTAACTCAGTAATTAACATTCAAGTTGCCCCCTAACTCAGTCATTACCATTCCAGTTGCCCACTTACCCAGTCATTACCATACCAGCGGCCCCCTTACACAGTCATTACCATTCCAGTTGTCCCCTTACTCAGTCATCTACCATTCCGGTTGCTTCCTACCATGTCATTACCATTCCGGCTGCTCCCAACCATGTCATTACCATTCCGGCTGCTCCCTACCATGTCACTACCATTCCGGTTGCTTACCATGTCACTACCATTCCGGCTGCTCCCTACCATGTCACTACCATTCTGGTTGCTCCCTACCATATCACTTCCATTCCGACTGCTCCCTACCATGTTACTACCATTCCGGTTCCTAACCATGTCACTACCATTCCGGCTGCTCCTTACCATGTCACTAACATTCCGACTGCTTCCTACCATGTCATTACTATTCCAGTTGCTTCCTTACCCAGTCATTACCATTCCAGTTGCCCCCTTACCCAGTCATTACCATTCCAGTTGCCCCCTAACTCAGTAATTTATGTTCAAGTTGCCCCCTAACTCAGTCTTTACCATTCCAGTTGCCCCCTTACGCAATAATTACCATTCCGGCTGCTCCCTACCTTGTCACTACCATTCCGGTTGCTCACTACCATGTCACTACCATTCCGGTTGTCCCACTACTATGTCACTACCATTCCGGTTGCTTACCATGTCATTACCATTCCGACTCCTCCCTACCATGTCACTACCATTCCGACTGCTCTCTACCATGTCACTACCATTCCGGTTGCTTACCATGTCATTACCATTCCGGCTGCTCCCTACCTTGCCACTACCATTCCGGTTGCTCCCCACCATGTCATTACCATTCCGGCTGCTCCCTACCATGTCACTACCATTCCGACTGCTCTCTACCATGTCACTACCTTTCCGGTTGCTTACCATGTCATTACCATTCCGGCTGCTCCCTCCCTTGCCACTACCATTCCGGTTGCTCCCCCCCATGTCATTACCATTCCGGCTGCTCCCTACCATGTCACTACCATTCCCGCTGCTCCCTACCATGTCACTACCATTCCGGTTGCTCCCTACCATGTCACTACCATTCCGATTGCTTACCATGTCACTACCATTCCGGTTGCTCCCTACCATGTCACTGCCATTCCGGTTGTTCCCTACCATGTCACTACAATTCCGGCTGCTCCCTACCAAGTCACTACCATTCCGGTTGCTCCCTAGCATGTCACTACCATTCCGACTGCTCCCTACCATGTCACTACCATTCCGGTTGTCCCACTACCATGTCACTACCATTCCCGCTGCTCCCTACCATATCACTACCATTCCCGCTGCTCCCTACCATGTCACTACCGTTCCGGTTGCTTCCTACCTTGTCACTACCATTCCGGCTGCTCCCTACCATGTCACTACCATTCCGGCTGCTCCCTACCATGTCACTACCATTCCGGTTGCTCTCTACCTTGTCACTACCATTCCGGCTGCTCCCTAACATGTCACTACCATTCCGGTTATCCCACTACCATGTCACTACCATTCCGGTTGCTCCCTACATTGTCACTACCATTCCGGCTGCTCCCTACCATGTCACTACCATTCTGGTTGTCCCACTACCATGTCACTACCATTCCGGTTGCTTACCATGTCACTACCATTTCCGCTGCTCCCTCCCAGGTCACTACCATTCCCGCTGCTCCCTACCATGTCACTACCAGTCCCGCTGCTCCCTACCATGTCACTACAATTCCGGCTGCTCCCTACCATGTCACTACCATTTCCGCTGCTCCCTCCCAGGTCACTACCATTCCCGCTGCTCCCTACCATGTCACTACAATTCCGGCTGCTCCCTACCATGTCACTACCATACCGGTTGCTTACCATGTCATTACCATTCCGGCTGCTCCCTACATTGTCACTACCATTCCGACTGGTCCCTACCATGTCACTACCATTCCGGTTGCTTACCACGTCACTACCATTCCCGCTGCTCCCTACCATGTCACTACCGTTCCGGTTGCTTCCTACCTTGTCACTACCATTCCGGCTGCTCCCTAACATGTCACTACCATTCCGGTTATCCCACTACCATGTCACTACCATTCCGGTTGCTTCCCATGTCACTACCATTCCGGTTGCTCCCTACCATATCACTACCAGTCCGGTTGCTTACCATGTCACTACCATTCCGGTTGCTCCCTACCATATCACTACCCTTCCGGTTGCTTACCATGTCACTACCATTCCCGCTGCTCCCTCCCATGTCACTACCATTCCCGCTGCTCCCTACCATGTCACCACAATTCCGGCTGCTCCCTACCATGTCACTACCATTTCCGCTGCTCCCTCCCAGGTCACTACCATTCCCGCTGCTCCCTACCATGTCACCACAATTCCGGCTGCTCCCTACCATGTCACTACCATTTCCGCTGCTCCCTCCCAGGTCACTACCATTCCCGCTGCTCCCTACCATGTCACCACAATTCCGGCTGCTCCCTACCATGTCACTACCATTCTGGTTGTCCCACTACCATGTCACTTCCATTCCGGTTGCTTACCATGTCACTACCATTCCCGCTGCTCCCTACCATGTCACTACCATTCCGGTTGCTTACCATGTCATTACCATTCCGGCTGCTCCCTACATTGTCACTACCATTCCGACTGCTCCCTACCATGTCACTACCATTCCGGTTGTCCCACTACCATGTCACTACCATTCCGGTTGTTCCAATACCCAGTCAGAGAATTAGGGACGGAATTTATTTTCTTTTTAGAAGTGTTTCACTTTTTCCAGCGTTTCATTATCGAGCATTTTCTAGCTGAGCGACATTGCGTCCGGAACGACGAGGCTCTGCTCTATATTGTTTTTTGTGAAATTGGTACAAATACAAATAACCTTTCGATTTAAATTGTACTTAACAAGAAAATGGTACATGAGAAAAGATATACGATATCCGGCATAATGAAATAAAAGAAAATATTGATAGAACATAACGTTCCTGAATGAATTGTCAAAGTCGATTTGGCATGCGTTCGTTTTAAAATGCTCCCCAGGTCGTGCACAGTCATTGAGAAATCACCAATAAGCCATTAAAAAGAGAAAGAACGCAAAGGCAGACGAATCAGTTTCTAAAAAATAAACATTTAGTGAGTTTTCGCGAAGGAATGCAGTGTCGGTACTGTTAACACATTCAGATTAAATATACATGTATACCTAACACAACTTCAAGGTTAGCTTTTATATTTGTGTACAGAAAAGGAAATGTTCTGATTATTGATATTTTCACAAAATTAAAGATACGTATTAAGCAGGAATTAGACATACGAATTTTAAACATAATGTTAAAAAGAACACGATTAAATTTTAAAGTGTTTATTCTTTCAGAAGCCATCAGATATCACCAAACATTTAACATTGGTTTATACAACATTTTACATCAGATCGGTGATTATTTCAAAACTTTATATGGCTCGTCTCAGCTAACCCGACACTCCCCTTCTCTCACCGACGACGCCATTATTCACCAGTTAGGCGATGTCTTAAAAGACAAATCACTCAATGAAGACAAATTACCTAAACCTACGAAAGCTGTGGTAGATACTTTTTTGCACCAACTAAGTGATTATTTTAAAGGCAGGGCACTACGAGGAGAGAATGATCCTATCCCAACAGAGGACGCAGGTCTCCTTCACCAAGTAGGGGATTTCTTCAAAGGAAAGAAATCACTGCATCCAGGTAATATATGATAACCCTTCGCTTTCATGATCTTTGCTATTCAGTCTTTTAAGTATATAGTCGGGTCATGTAAACTACTTTTCTATCGAACAGTAAACTTTATCGAAAAGCTCAGAACCGTTTTACCTATTACCTCGTACGTTTCGTCATAGTCATGTATTAAAAGTATGTTTAGTATGCACAAGCATTCAAAAACTAACATAGCACTTATGTTTATAATACAATCGATGACGTCACAGCTATTTCAGTGGTTAATTAAGCACCACATTTGATGGTGTGCTATTTATACTGTAGTATGACTTGACAATTGTCTATGCATGGTAACTTTGACTTTGACTCATGTGTGGTTTATTGTATTATTTAAATATGTACAAACAAATTAAATAGTGCAGAAATGAAAACGCAAAGCTGATAACACTGAGTGGGTCGGTGCTTTTCTATAAATTCAAACAACAGTGACTTTGACCTTGACCCTGGAAACCTAAAGAACTCATTGTAGACATTCCAAACGTAACACTGAAATCGAGTTCATCAAAATCCTTTAAGACATGAAGTCGCAAGAATGATGACACTGCACCAGGACGGGGCGCACAATGGTATCAAAACCACCACCTTGAAATGAAGGGGGGACAAAACCATATATATTTCGATTTTGCAAGAGTGTCTGAAACCTACTTAAGCCACCGTTAATACTTTATTATACTAAATAAGCGATGATTTTAAAGGCAGTGCACTACAAGATGAGACAGACCCTGTCCCACCACCGGACGAAAGTCTGCTTCACATTTCAAAGAGCAGTTGCTTCGTGTTTGCCATTTGCAAATGACAGGAGGCAATTCATAATGTAATTAATCAGTCAAGTGTCAAAGTTTCCAATCCTTCCCACGAAAACATTCTTTATCAAATGGTTTGACTTTTACGATCTGTACACTATCTTTAACTCATAAAAATCCGAAGGAACGCAATCGATTCATATTGTGACAGCATTTTGTTCCAAGAAAGATGATATTACATGAGTTAAGTTATCTTTGTGGATTTTGGTGTGAAGTCTTTCCATTAGACTGTCAGTATACCCTTGTAGAAAGGATACATCCCTTTCGTGACTGACTCTGTTTCACATGAGGTAGATAATAAAGACGTGCTAAGGATGTGATTTTAGGATATATCGATGTTGTATGAAATAACATGAATTTTATTATCCATCTGAAGCCGTACTCAGTAATCGTTCACATTCTTCTAGATAAGTTGCATAACTCAAACGTTACGTTCACATGAACGACTTAACACTATACACTAGTTGATGCGCGTGATGATTTCATTGTTTATCCTGACATTTCGCTTTCTTGCTGGTAACATTCCTGCTTCCACAACCAATATTGTTTACATGTCCCAGATGATTCAATGTTATATAGCCTTCCTCTGAACATCAGAACTCCATGGTAAATATGGAATGCTGATAGTCAAAATAACTAAAAATGTGTCTTGAGAAAAATAGATTGATGAAGGTCAAGGACAAGTTGTCAGGTCAACATTCTGATTTCGGTGGGAGCTTTGCTATTTCCTAGTACGATGTGAATACTGACACTTTTTATTATGCTAATACCTGGATTTTACGTTAAGATGAAGCAAAAGGCGATTATCATTCTGGACCTTATATTGCATGTAGTTACACCGTTATTTCAACACTACTACTACTGTTTGTCTGGTACTTAGAGTATACTGGCGAGGCACAAACACCATCAGTTTAAATATGTTATTACCAGTGTCACGATTTTGAAATTTTGAAAAACGATTTACCTTTCAATGTCGTATTTTTAATCAAATAACGCAAAACAGATATGCTGTCGTTAATTCTTCATTGAATGGAATTATATATTATTTTTAGGAATGGCACTAAGAGGGGAGAATGACCCTTACCCAACAGCGGACGCAGGTTTACTTCACCAAGTAGGCGATTTCTTTAAAGGAAAGAAAGCACTTCATCCAGGTAAAGTATGATAATCCTCCAACTTCGATATCGTTTAGTGTTTTATTATCTTGATGGTTAATCTTTCGTCATACATGGTCGGTGTATGTCCTTTCAAATGCTATCCTTAATTGTATTAGTTTGCGGTTTACTAATATTGATCTTGACCGATACTATATAGCAATTACCTTTGTGTCTGTCACTTGTAATGGGTGTACTATCAATTCTCAATGGAAACTGAAGAAACGCATCAGTTCTCTAAAGTGACAGCTTCCTGTTTATATATATTTTAGATAAAAAAAAAATCATATCCCCCTTTTTGCGGGAGGTTGTCACTGTTATCGTCATATATTCAATATATTTCGTTTAAGAATTACGACGTCATTACTACATTTTTTCCCATTGATTATACTGGCGCGATACCAATACCATCACGATACACTACGTGTTTACCATTGTTACGATTATAAAAGGATTTTTACGTCTTATCCACAGACGCATTGTTTTCAAATGTTCGAATTTGGTTTTTAATATTTGAACAAAAGTAATATGTAAACAAATACAATATACAACACAGGTCGAACTGGAAACCTTTAGGATGCCAAACCTACACGTTTCCGATATTTCTATCCAGCTTGACTCATGGACTGCAAAGTCTACAGAAAAAGTGACACATTTTGATAGGCAGAACACCAGTTAACTTTCAATTTAGGAAAATTGACATTTTCTTTTCAAAACGAATGACCAAATAATGAGATGCTTTCGTAACTGCTTTTTTGAACGACATCCGTTATAACGTTTTAGGAATGGCTCTGCGAGGGGAGAATGACCCTTACCCAACAGAGGACGCTGGTCTCCTTCATCAAGTAGGCGATTTCTTTAAAGGAAAGAAATCTCTGCATCAAGGTATGATAATCCCTCGAACACCAATGTATGATAATCCCTCCAACATCAAGGTATGATAATCCCTCCAACATCATGATCCTTTTGTGTTCTCGTTAGATTCATGGTTCAGCTTTCGTCATACATGGTTGGGGTACATGTATGTCCTTTCAAATGTTGTTTTTTAATTGTGTTAGCTGGCGATTCACTAATATTGAACTTGTCCGATTCCATATACCCATCACCTCAGTTTCCCTCATTTGCAATGTGAATACTATCATATCTCAATACAAACTGAAGGAACGCATAAGTTCTCTTAAATGACGGTTTGTTGTTCGAAGAAAGAAAGTATGAATAAATGTTTGATTACATTTGTACCATCGTATACCCATGTGATATATTTCTGCTGCTCTTGTGATTGAAATTACTGTTTAATCATTAGGTTTCCCATCTTATTAGTCACATCCCTGACACCACAGCAGTAGTGTTTATAACATACGGTTTTCTGCACGTTTTGCATAGTGAAAATGACGACGTACGAGTTGATACAAGTTTAACTTTGAAATTTAATAAAAGTTAAAATATTCCCAATGTGTTCCATACAGAGTCTAGAACCTAATTGATTTACAAAACATCCTATCATAATTAAATACGTACAATAAATGTAATTATCTGAGCTTTGAGTGAAAGGTGTCACTTACTACATTTTGTAATTGTAGGATCAATACCTGTGGCCAGTGTCCACAAGGTAATGGCTATTCCATAATAATCCTAATCCTGTTGCGTAATGCAATGGGCAATGTTTTGATTAATTATATAATTATATTAATTATAAGTATATGTGTTTAGGGATATAAAACTTCCAACATGAGTCTGATCTTAAATGTCACAAAGGGTATAGATATTGAGGTAGAAAATTACAATTAAGGATAATGTAACATGTATTTAGCCAAATTCAGTCTAAATGTCATATAAACTTGTTTTTGTATAAAGTGACTCTTGAGTTACTAAATATGAACAATTCGAAACATAGATTTGATAATAGATGATAATAGTTTTTCATGAATAAGCAATTATTTACACAATTAATCTCAGCACTAATTTATCACAAAATCTCTGCGTGATATTTACATGGCACAGCTGATGCGTTATTTGTGCATTTGCTTCGAATATCTTAGTCCAATGATAAATATCGAATGCTGACGGATAACTAGATTGATGAAGACCAATGACAGGTTGTAACCTCCACCTTGGTCAACATTCTTTTCCGACTGGGCGATGTGAACACTGACCCTTTGTATTAGGCTCATTAGCATGCCAAGAGGTTTCGTGACATCTCCCCGGCTCTCACATTGAGAACTTTATATTACTTTGTATTTGATCAAGATTGTTACAAGAGTGCGGGTTTGGGGAACGGGGGAGGTGGTCGTCGATGAAGCAGAAACACTTGTAATTCTAGAACTCATATTCCTTTGTTTATATTTTCCCCTAGTTTCGTTTATTTTAAGTTCGATTTACGACTGTCGTTATGTTTCGGTAATATCTCCTTTTTCAGGCTGTTGTTATTATATTCGAAGAAATTTAAACGCCATTACTTCATTTTTTTCTAGCGAAATACCAGTATCATCAAGATCAAATATTTAATAACCATTGGGGGTAGAAGGGCAGGGCCAAATAGGAGAAATAGAGGTAAAATCTTTAAAATCCTTCTTCTATCGTAGGGATTAAGGGATTTTATACTAATTCAGTCTGGAGCATCCTTGGGACAAGAGGACTCAATTTTGTATTAACGGTGTGTATGACCCCCTTGGGGCATTTGGGCGGTGCCAAAAAGGGAAAATAGAGGTAAAACCTTTAAAATCCTTCTTCTACCATAAGGAATAAAGGATTTCATCCCAATATAGTCTGGAGCATCCTTGGGCAAAAGGGACTTAATTTTGTATAAGCAGTGAGTGTGGCCCCCTGGGGACAGAGGGGCGGGGCCCAATAGGGGAAACATAGCAAATTCATCAAAATCCATCTTCTGCTGTAGGAATGACAGGATTTTGTCCAAATTTGGTATGAAGCATCATTCGGTGAAGGGGAACCAATATTGTATAAACGGTGGGACTGACCCCGCTGGGGGCAGAGAGGCGGGCCCAATAAGGGATATAGAGGAATAGCTTTAATATCCCTTTTCTGCTATTGGGATGAAGGTATGTTGACCAAATTTGAACAGTAGCGTCCTATTGGAAAGGGAAATCAATTTTGTATAAATGGTCAGTCTGACACCCTGGAGCCTGAGGGGTTTGGCCCAATAGGGGTAATTTACCAAATTCTTTAAAATTCTTCTTCTTCTGTAGGAATGACAGGTTATGTTCATATTTAGTCTTAAGCATCCTTGGGTGAAGGCGAGCGATACAGGCCCTCTGGGCTTCTTGTTAGATGTTTAAATCTATTTGAATATTTGAGAATAGATATATAAAGTTCAAAATAACAGCACATGCCAAATACAGAAACTACAGGTGCCAACCCTACAGCTTTTCAATATTGCTATCGAGGAATTATCTTATTCACAACATTAAAGTTACAGCCGGACTCAGAACTACATAAAGTCAACGGTAGGAGTTGAACAGTAGTAGTTTAGAACTCACAAAACTAAATAATTTACTATATGTTATTACTAAGCTTTGGAGCTAATAGCGTTAATAATTGAAGTTTAACACTAGTGACAACTGTCTAGATTCACAGATACATTCCGGACAAAGGCTTCAAAATGCATTTTTGGTGCGTTTAGTGGCCTATAAGCGCGCTACAGCCGTCTGCGTTAGACAACCGGAAGTTTTCACGCCAAACCAGTGAGGAGGGACGTGAACACCCCCTGACATTTGACCCCATATCAATCCGCAATCACATTTTAAAATCTATTAAAACTATACATCTGTCTAAAGTTCAATATCTGTAGATTTTATTCAATGTAAAACATGTCAACAATTACCTATTTAAAAATACTCAGAGGCACTGTATTGAACCGGATCAACTTTTAGGAAGGGAGTACAATCGTATGGCTGATTGGCTTATTTAGTTGTGTGAGACCTAGAAGCCGGTACCTGAACGTATATTAACCTCAATCAGTCACAATCTGCTGTCGATTGTATCACTGTCTAGCTAGTGGTGGGAGGGTTTTTCATTTATCCATTCAAAATTGACGTAGAAGTCCAGGCGTTTCAAAATTAATGTCGATGTGACGGGACCAATGAAGGTCAGTTCTGAATTGCGAATTTTCTAAAACCATTTACATATATCTTTTAATGTTGGAAAAGCGACGATATTTTGAAATCAAATAACCAAAATTAACTAAAGCTGCCATAGATACTATTTTTACAATACATCAGTAATTGTTTCAAAGGCATGGTACTACGAGGAGAGAATGACCCTTATCCAACAGCTGACGCAAGTCTCCTTCACCAAGTAGGCGATTTCTTCAAAGGAAAGAAGTCGCTATATCAAGGTAATGTATGAAATATATAAATATCACCTATTGTAAATATGTGTGTAAGTTATGTATAAGTTTTAAATATTTTGGTCTGTATCTTTTTCCATATTTTTTTTATTCAACAATCTTAAATATACTTTGAGCTCTCATTCTCTCTTTGACTACTTTTGTGATACGCTCAATCTGGAACCAGTTGGTTCCCGTTATATCCACAAGAATGAATAGGATAGATTCTGTTTTAAAGTGACAATGTTTTTGATAATTATAGCTCAATGTTCGTGTATTTATATTTTTCAGAGCCCCCATTGACTGACGTCCAAGCAGGACACATGCTCCACACCATCGGTAACATCATGGAACACCATCTAGCGACCCCACAATTAATGAGCGACGTTCTTCATCAGATGGGAGACTATTTCAAAGGAAGGAGGTCACTCTAAACTCATACCCGTCATATTGTTGTTGAGAATCATATTAAATATGGTAATACATATTATAACGATATACTTTGTTAGTGTGATATATTACATGCTACAATGTATATAAGTCTCCTTTTCTCTGAAATAAAGACGGGATGTTTTATTCTTCAGCATCAATAAGCGTTTTCTACTGCAATATATGTATAGAGTATCTTTTGTGTAGCAAACATGAGACATGATCAATTCGTGCATCTTCAGTTATTTTCATTAGCCGTATGTAGCTCACATTACTTCTCATTTCTACACTTTAGTGCAAAACACAACAACTGCAACTAACGTATGATTGATATGACATTATAGGAGTCACGCGCCTTTATAGGATGACACTTTCTGTTTCTAATTTTAAGATGCCTTAAGTTCTTAAAATATTTTTCACTGTTATAACGACTTTGTGGCTTTCAATCGGGAGACGAGTTTCACTATTTAAATCGTTCAGGTAATATTTATTTTAGATTTATACTTGTACAAATACCGACAAATTATCAGTTTTTAGGAACGCAAAATGACAAATACCTAACAAGCAATATGGTTTTTAGTCGGCATTGTATTTATGGATAACCTTTAAAGGGCCGACTAGTATCTACTAATTCAAACTAACAGCTTGAAGAATAGAACAAATATCCAAAGGGCCGGTTTCCAAAACGGCCCCTTCTCTGATTCAAATTTCCTGTTGGTGGTGCATTGCCCATGCCGTTGTGGTCACAAATCTATAAAGTATAAAGATTTAGGTCACTTGGTTTGTTTTTTATGGCTCCGCAAAGTTGTTCCTTTCAGAAGCTGTCTAAGTGTTGATAAAATGTGCATGTTATGTAAAATATTAATGAAAATCTAATCAAATGATGGTCACCGTAAAGAATACATTCATGGCATGATTGTAACAAAAAATCATGTTTCCATCGCGCCATTTGGCTGTTTTATGGAAGAAACAATCTCAAACAAGTAAAGCTCTATCCGATTTTCTGATGGAAATTTGCATCCAAAACTATATAACGGGAGAAAATTGCAATTTTATGGCATTTTTCTTCATAATTGTGTCTCTGCAAGTTCATTTTCATCCGAGATTTTTTTTTTTTTTTTATGTTTTATGAATAAACACGATGTGTTGGAAATATTTATCAAAAGAAATTTATACTATGTTGCGAATTACAATTTCGAGATAACCTTCTTTTATTTACGAACTTATGTCTTTGATGCTGAAATTGACAACTTTATAAAAATACATTTTCACTGAAATTATGAAATCTGGGTGTCGGAAAGGTGTAAAATTATTCTTCGGAAAAGAAAAAAACAGTAGTTGAGCTAGATAAGAAATTATACGGGGGCAGGCTCCTATGGAGAATTAACATTACTGGAAACAGGCCCATTGAATATTTGTTCGTAAATTCTCATTAGCCCCTCTGCAGTGGTTATGTAAAAATGCTACATACACCCACAAAAACTGTCAAAGTAACACTTTTACTGTTTACAAGTACATGTATATGAAAATGAATATTGATAATCCAATATGTGTTTATTTTGCACGATAGGTGAAGTTTCTGGGTTGTTTAATCAGGCAAGGTTGCACTACAGATTACAAAAGGAATTTGCTTTATTAATGTTTTAAAAGTTTTCTGACTAATTTCATGTGTAATATGTTCGTTGGTGGCTCTGTGAATACATTGTATTCGCCACTTGATGTACAGTATCGTTTGATTAAATTGATTAAAACCAATAGTGACACGTGGTTAGTTACTATAAACGTTCCAAGTCAACTGATTAATATTTTATCAAGAGGAAGATATTTCTACATACAAATGTATATCCCATTAAAATATAAATAAAATGTATTCATGAAAAATGACAATCCTTTCCAAAAGAAATAAAAGTGATACCAAAATCAAAAACACACTCTGAGAAGTAGATATTTTGCGTACAACGACCCCAATAAATCATACCGCATCGATTAAAACGACTTGACAAAAACCATGAATATATTATGTTAACAAATAAGTACTATTTTATTACCAAATTGTGTCATATCGATATATACACATACATGTAGCTATGGAAGGTTCCTTACCACGTCATACACAATTGCTAACAACAAAGTATGCCCTCCTGAGACGTTGTCCTAACAACAGTAATCGCGTGACAAAGCTCGCCCTTCCTACGGCTGCTTTGAAAGTCTGCCAAGCTCATAAATATTTACAGCGCTTATAACTGTTCCTCTGTTGAAAGCTACTCTATACGTTCAAGAATCACTAAAGTCCTCGGTTGCTAAGGACGCTACTTGGCTGGTGACAAATATGCTGAAGTGTAATTTGAAGTTAAAACATTTTTAACTAGCTGAGGTCGGTAATTTCTATATACAAACTATCACAGATCACTTGGATGACACACATGAGAATTCAAGCTTAAACTTTGAAACCATGGACATAAAACACTTAAAATAGCTTAAGAGTATAAAATTAAATTATTAAAATTATATGTTGAATACAAATATTAAATATAACTTAAATATAATTTTGAAAAACGAACTCAATAAATATAGTCTTGTGGTTCTGACGTAGCTGCTACATAAAACAAACCTTAGTTTAAAGTATTTCATACACAATTAGCTGCGGAATAAAAGTAATCACGTCAGTTTATTTTGTAATTTATGTTATAAGGATATATCCGTATGTATCATAAGATTATACGGGAAATTACTCCACCTGGCGTAGAATGTTCGTTTAAAGTTCCTTAAAACAACATTTTATATTAACTTCCTCCCGACACAACATCAAAAGATTATATTTCCACGCACATCTTTTGAACTATTCGGCAATATACTTGGTTGAATGGAGTCAATGGAATGTATCTCACTCCTCAGTGCCTAGGGGTCGTTCATCCTTTAATACGACGTCAGTAGTGTGACTCTATGCTGATTAAGAGTAATTGAATACGTTCACATCTCGCTTTGTTACCTTTGTAATCCATGGAAGTAGTGTCACTTATTCTTAGTCTTTGTAGACTAGCAATTGAAGTTTTGTATCAAATGAAGTTTTCACATCGGTACAAATAAACAATATTTTGATATTCGGATTTAAAAACAATATTACGTTAACTAACATCAACGAATATGTTCACAATATCCTGGTTATTTTTTTATTCATCACATTTTTACTGTTAGTTTTCTAAATGATGGTGACTAAAAGACCACCTACTGATGCTGCAGAAAGCTTGGTTTGTCTGCCTGAGATAAACCTCACAAACATTAGTACAACTTTACAAATATGTATTGGCCGCAAATCTTCAATAGCATATACTTGGTATTGAACCGTATACAAAAAATCCAAATTTCTCCATTTCTTTTGACGAATGATTATGTAAGCACGTGCCCGAAAACCCCCGATTCTTTAACGAATATGTTCAGACAATCCTCTGTATGTGAATGATAATCTAGTACCTCTTCATCTGGATTCCTTCAGACCTTTTCGTTGAAGTTAAAGAACAGAGCGGTATAATTCCTGGTCACGAATTTTCCCTCGTGCTATTACGGATCTCCTAGAAGTGCATGCTTTGTAGGGTGTTTGTTTTCATCAGTAAGCAAAGGTTGCAAACTCGCTGTCTCCGGTAGGAGGTCGGCTTCCAACTACAACGGAGATAAAACAACATTAACTTAAATTAACTTCAAAAGATGAATAACTCTTACCATATATAAAGCAGTTGTATTTCTTTTTCGCAGTCATAAGGAGAGTCGATGACCTATCAAGGTACCTTAATTGTCATAGCAACTGCAGTTAACGAGGTTTATGAATAGCACTAATGTCTGACAACATTTAGGCAATGTTGCAGGCAACGTAATAAATATTCTGAAAAGGATAACGAGGAAATAATTCAAAAGATACCTCATCACCAACGATTTTATCACTTAAGAAGCCATGTTGACTTGCCTCCAGAGGACGGTGTCTGGTTAGCTTTCTTGTGATCATGTGCATGACCTTCGTTGATGAAAGCGATGTCCTGATTGGTCAATTTTGACCTACCTACGAGGTCATCATCTGCTGCGTGTTCGTTGCCAGTCAGAAAGAATGTCCCGATCGGTCCAAAACCTCTCAGTTCGATTCGCCCTCTGTCCTCCATCGTAAAGCCTTTACCTTTCAGGAGCCTGAAACCCAGATGGTCTTTAATTTAATGTGTTATAAATACACACGTTGGTCTTTTATATCACAATCGAATAAATCCTTGCATGCATAACGCATCAATGTATTAAATATTTTAAAAGGCCAGTCATTAATCAACTAACAGGCGCAATACGGAACAAACAAATCGCGAAAATATCCCAGGCACACATAGAACCACCTCTGTACAGTATCAAATCACTGAACGTCATACGTTACCTGTATGTTGACGGGCTGATGTGAATCTTCCCTGGTTCACCGTGACTTTCCATTTTAGAGGCAACTACAGCTGTTTCACCCAGAACAATAAAACGGGGTAGCCGTGTTCCGACGACACCGCAAACCATAGAGCCGGTGTGTATGCCGATTCGTATCTGTAAGATTGACGAAGCAGGCGGTAAGTGCATTTTATGATACAAACTATAACCGTGATATTATATCTATTTAATAAATAACACAAAATACTTTTATGATACAAACTATAACCGTGATATTATATCTATTTGATAAATAACACAAAATACTTTTCTGATACAAACTATAACCGTGATATTATATCTATTTAATAAATAACACAAAATACTTTTATTCGTAGTATGTTTACCAATGTGCTCAAACATTAATTCCTATATGTAAATTGGTTTTTTGATATCATGAAATAACCATTCGGGAAAACCATAAAGTCTGTCATTTGCCCAGAATTCCATCCGACATTTGTCCATATTTTAAACCGTTCATGAAACTGATGACATGCAACTTTAACTAATGATAAAACATCCCCGTCTTTTTTTAATAGTAGTGATACGATACAAATAAAGTTTTACCGGCGATAATTGTAAGTAGCATAAACGAAAAAGACTATATTTAAAGTGAGTCATATAATATATTTCCGAACAAATTCACACAGAAGAGATTAATTTACAATTATAAAGAAAACATACGATAAGGGTTTCGATTCTTATCTCATATAATGGTATTGCTATCATGTCATTGATGTTTATATAGATGCAGGCGCAGATATGCATATACCTATATACATGATATATATTTATATGGTTAATGAAAATGATATTGATATTCTTGGTTTTTTCCTAAATTTCTCCAGGTTATGCTGGTAGATTGAAATTCAAATATATGTTTTAATTTGTCTATTGTTTGATTAAATTGGGACGTAGCAAATTACGTTCAGGCAGCATTACAAGTTCACATTATGTAACATTTTGGAGACGGTTCACTGATTTTTTATTTTTTTTTATATATTAGACGTTTTTATCAAGTAATTGGTATTACGGTTGTTTGTCAGCTTATCCTGGGATTCCAGCCCTGAAAGGTTTATGGACAATTTGTCTGTGCTTGTTTCTAGTTCATGTCTGACCGTTATTTGTAGCAACCGTTACACCTAACTTATAACAAGTGGTGATTCAGAAACAACTAACATTATTTTACTTATATAATTTTATATGATATTATATATTTCTATAATCAATATATGTATGCACTGTTTGCATATATAGCTCGATTCCTGTTGTACGTAAGGCCTATAAAGGACGACAAAACGACAATAAATATTGATTTCAGAACATGCCCCAATGTGTGCAATGTGTGCAAGCAATAACGCCTTCTTGATCTGATGCTGAGTTATAATGCAACCTCAATGAGATACCTCACTGAAGACAGCCAGTAACAAACGCCTTCTTGATCTCATGCTGAGTTATAATGCTACCTCAATGAGATACCTCACTGGAGACAGCCAGTAACAAACGCCTTCTTGATCTGATGCTGAGTTATAATGCTACCTCAATGAGATACCTCACTGAAGACAGCCAGTAACAAACGCCTCCTTGATCTCATGCTGAGTTATAATGCTACCTCAATGAGATACCTCACTGGAGACAGCCAGTAACAAACGCCTTCTTGATCTGATGATGAGTTATAATGCTACATCAATGAGATACCTCACTGAAGGCAACCAGTAACAAACGCCTTCTAGATCTGATGCTGAGTTATAATGCTACCTCAATGAGATCCCTCACTGAAGGCAACCAGTAACAAACGCCTTCTAGATCTGATGCTGAGTTATAATGCTACCTCAATGAGATCCCTCACTGAAGGCAACCAGTAACAAACGCCTTCTAGATCTGATGCTGAGTTATACTGCTACCTCAATGAGATACCTCACTGAAGACAGCCAGTAACAAACGCCTTCTTGATCTGGTGCTGAGTTATAATGCTACCTCAATGAGATACCCTGATGATGAGTTATAATGCTACATCAATGAGATACCTCACTGAAGGCAACCAGTAACAAACGCCTCCTTGATCTGATACTAAGTTACAATTCTACCTCAATGAGATACCTCACTGAAGGAAACCAGTTACAAACGCCTTCTTGATCTGATGATGAGTAATAATGCTACCTCAATGAGATACCTCACTGAAGGAAACCAGTTACAAACGCCTTCTTGATCTGATGCTGAGTTATAATGCTGCCTCAATGAGATACCTCACTGAAGGCAGCCAGTAACAAACGCCTTCTAGATCTGATGCTGAGTTATACTGCTACCTCAATGAGATACCTCACTGAAGGCAACCAGTAACAAACGCCTCCTTGATCTGATACTGAGTTACAATGCTACCTCAATGAGATACCTCACTGAAGGAAACCAGTTACAAACGCCTTCTTGATCTGATGATGAGTAATAATGCTACCTCAATGAGATACCTCACTGAATGAAACCAGTAACAAACGCCTTCTTGATCTGATGCTGAGTTATAATGCTACCTCAATGAGATACCTCACTAAAGGCAACCAGTAACAAACGCCTTCTTAATCTGATGCTGAGTTATTATGCTACCTCAATGAGATACCTCACTGAAGGCAGCCAGTAACAAACGCCTTCTAGATCTGATGATGAGTTATAATGCTACCGCAATGAGATACCTCACTGAAGGTAACCAGTAACAAACGCCTTCTTGATCTGATGATGAGTTATAATGCTACCTCAATGAGATACCTCACTGAAGGAAACCAGTTACAAACGCCTTCTTGATCTGATGCTGAGTTATAATGCTACCTCAATGCGATACCTCACTGAAGGCAGCCAGTAACAAACGCCTTCTAGATCTGAAGCTGGGTTATTATGCTACCTCAATGAGATACCTCACTGAAGACAGCCAGTAACAGACGCCTTCTTGATCTGATGCTGAGTTATAATACTACCTAAATGAGATACCTCACTGAAGACAGCCAGTAACAAACGCCTTCTAGATCTCATGCTGAGTTATAATGCTACCTCGATGAGATACCTAACTGAAGGCAGCCAGTAACAAACGCCTTCCTGATCTGATGTTGAGTTATAATGCTACCTCAATGAGATAACTCACTGAAGGCAACCAGTAACAAACGCCTTCTTGATCTGATGCTGAGTTATAATGCTACCTCAATGAGATACCTAACTGAAGGCAGCCAGTAACAAACGCCTTCTTGATCTGATGTTGAGTTATAATGCTACCTCAATGAGATACCTCACTGAAGGCAGCCAGTAACAAACGCCTTCTTGATCTGATGCTGAGTTACAATGCTACCTCAATGAGATACATCACTGAAGGAAACCAGTAGCAAACGCCTTCTTGATCTGATGCTGAGTTATAATGCTACCTCAATGAGATACCTCACTGAAGACAGACAGTAATAGACGCCTTCTTGATCTGATGCTGAGTTATAATACTACCTCAATGAGATACCTCACTGAAGACAGCCAGTAACAAACGCCTTCTAGATCTGATGCTGAGTTATAATGCTACCTCAATGAGATACCTCACTGAAGGCAACCAGTAACAAATGTCATTTATAAGGACTATGGTTATTCCGGCTTAGGGACAAGAACTCCCGATTTTGCAAACTTTCAACACTATGCAAAAATTGAAGAATAGTCAAGCAAGGTTGGTAGGAAGTAAATAATCTACATAAAGATCATAAACATTGCATGTGTAGTGGGCATAAATGCAAAGCCCCAATTCTGCAGGGGGTTCCCTCATTAGTATCCCTATTCTACAGGGGGTTCCCTCATTAGTATCCTATTCTACATGGCGTTCCCTCATTAGTATCCCTATTCTACAGGGGGTTCCCTCATTAGTATCCCTAATCTACAGGGGGTTCCCTCATTAGTTTCCCTATTCTACAGGGGGTTCCCTCATTAGTATCCCTATTCTACCAGGGGTTCCCTCATTAGTATCCTATTCTACAGGGGGTTTCCTCATTAGTATTCCTATTATACAGGGGATTCCCTCATTAGTATCCCTATTCTACAGGGGGTTCCCTCATTAGTATTCCTATTATACAGGGGATTCCCTCATTAGTTTCCCTATTCTACCAGGGGTTCCCTCATTAGTATCCCTAATCTACAGGGGGTTCCCTCATTAGTATTCCTATTATACAGGGGATTCCCTCATTAGTTTCCCTATTCTACAGGGGGTTACCTCATTAGTATTCCTATTCTACAGGGGGTTCCCTCATTAGTATCCCTATTCTACAGGGGGTTCCCTCATTAGTTTCCCTATTCTACAGGGGTTCCCTCATTAGTATCCCTATTCTACAGGGGGTTCCCTCATTAGTATCCCTATTCTACAGGGGTTCTCTCATTAGTATCCCTATTCTACAGGGGTTCCCTCATTAGTATCCCTATTCTACAGGGGGTTCCCTCATAAGTTTCCCTATTCTACAGGGATTTCCTCATTAGTTTCCCTATTCTACAGGGGTTCCCTCATTAGTATCCCTATTCTACAGGGGGTTCCCTCATTAGTTTCCCTATTCTACAGGGGGTTCCCTCATTAGTTTCCCTATTTTTACAGGGGTTTCCTCATTAGTTTCCCTATTCTACAGGGGGTTCCCTCATTAGTTTCCCTATTCTACAGGGGGTTCCCTCATTAGTTTCCCTATTTTTACAGGGGTTTCCTCATTAGTTTCCCTATTCTACAGGGGTTCCCTCATTAGTTTCCCTATTCTACAGGGGGTTTCCTCATTAGTTTCCCTATTCTACAGGGGGTTCCCTCATTAGTTTCCCTATTCTACAGGGGTTTCCCTCATTAGTTTCCCTATTTTTACAGGGGTTTCCTCATTAGTTTCCCTATTCTACAGGGGTTCCCTCATTAGTTTCCCTATTCTACAGGGGGTTTCCTCATTAGTTTCCCTATTCTACAGGGGGTTTCCTCATTAGTTTCCCTATTCTACAGGGGTTTCCTCATTAGTATCTCTATTCTACAGGGGGTTCCCTTATTAGTTTCCCTATTCTACAGGGGGTTCCCTCATTAGTTTCCCTATTTCACAGGGGTTTCCTCATTCGTTTCCCTATTCTACAGGGGGTTCCCTCATCAGTTTCCCTATTTTACAGGGGGTTCCCTCATTAGTTTCCATATTTTACAGGGGTTTCCTCATTAGCTTCCCTATTCTACAGGGGGTCCCTCATTAGTATCCCTATTCTATAGGGGGTTCCCTCATTAGTTTCCATATTTTACAGGGGTTTCCTCATTAGTTTTCCTATTCTACAGGGGTTCCCTCATTAGTTTCCCTATTAAATAGGGGGTTCCCTCATTAGTATTCCTATTATACAGGGGATTCCCTCATTAGTATCCCTATTCTACAGGGGGTGCCCTCATTAGTATCCTATTCTACAGGGGGTTCCATCATTAGTTTCCCTATTTTACAGGGGATTCCTCATTAGTTTCCCTATTCTCCAGGGGGTTTCCTCATTAGTATCCCTATTCTATAGGGGGTTCCCTCATTAGTATCCCTATTCTATAGGGGGTTCCCTCATTAGTTTCCCTATTCTACAGGGAGTTCCCCCATTAGTTTCCCTATTTTTACAGGGGTTTCCTCATTAGCTTCCCTATTCTACAGGGGGTTTCCTCATTAGTATCCCTATTCTACAGGGGGTTTCCTCATTAGTTTCCCTATTCTACAGGGGTTTCCTCATTAGTTTCTGTACATTATTTAACGTTATATAACCTTTGTTAAAGATACCTTTTTCGTATAATTAACGAAGATGTTATATATTTTAACTAATCCGGTTGTTTTTTTTGTGAATGTCACTATAGTTATATATTATGCAAAATGCCGACAGTTGGTTATCATTTTGTTATATACCTACCGTCACTCATACTATAATTGTAATAAACTATTATTATATAACACAGCGAAACTAGCACGCTTCTCTGTATGACCTACCATGATCTTCCCACCCGTCATAGGGTTTGCCACTTCATGGGACAGGTGCATCATCCCTAGGGCGGTGTTTGCGATTCTCTCCGCGTGGTTGTCGATCTTTTCTGGTACTCCAGCCACCACGAAGTAAGCGTCACCAATAGATTCCACCTTTCAACAAAATCAGGCTACAATTATATCTCAGTTTCAGAAAATCAGGCTACAACAGTTATATCTCAGTCTGAGAAAATTAGGTTATATATTGTTATATAGACTCGGACGTGAACATCCATTTTTTGTGTTATATGGGTATTCTGAAGGCAGAATTTCATTTAACTGTTCAAACAAAAATTTATTCTTAGTTTTCGACGCAACAAAATGTCATTTTTCTAACTTACTCTTTATGTGTCATACTAGTCAGCGAGGTGGCATATCTTTCCGGAAAGGTGCTACAAATCTTGTCAATGTATCGTTGAATATTATTCCGCTAGGTGAAGTACTTGACCGGTATGAGTGTGTTACTTACCCGGTAAGTGTCATGGACTTTCGTGACCTTGTCAAACCTCGTGTACAACGAGTTGAGGACCCCTACTACGTCCGAAGGCTTACAGTTAGACACCAGGTTTATAAACTGTACTACGTCACAAAACAGGGCCGTCATCTCAGGAAAATATTCTGGAAATTAATAGTGAAATTGAATTCAACACATAGCCATTTTGGTTTTCAGTTTTTATCGATAATTATTTCTCCTTACTATAATACCTACAAAATGTATCATTATTCATAAATGGTTTGGAACATAAGACAGTTCTTAATAGAATATAAATGATAATAAAAAACTTTCTATTAAGCGATTAGTAACATTATTCAAGATCACACAGGGACCATAACATTATGTATAACAAATGCTTTCGCGAAAGTGGTGATATACGTGATAAATGTGTTTGATGTTACAAATTGATGGATTTAAAACATAACATTGAATCAAGACTTAATAATACAAAGGGAGTTAACTGGATTATCTAATTTAAGTCAAAGATAGAATCCTGCTGATTTTCGATAATATTTGACTATGTTAAGGTTCAACAAGCCCCCTAAAAGATGACGTAGTCAACTAAAATTCCAACCCCCTCGTAAGTCATGTTCGAAGACCTCAATTACAAATCGGAACTCACATATGTTATTTATATATATTGAACTTGTACATTGGCCATACCAAAAATACATAGCCAGGTTAACGTAGTCAAAAAAAGGCATTAAAGCTGATGTCTTTATAAAAATAGTTCACCGGACTTATAACATGTCAATCTCTTTTGCAACCCTACTGAGTGCTTGGAAATGACTCATAATCTAAAGTTTTTTTATATACCTAGGTCATGCGGAGCTTTATTTCTCTTCTACTAACTGTTGAGAGGAATTCCGACCACAAATAAAGATAGATGTTGCCATGCGAAATCACTAGAATCATAATAAAATCTCCTGGTAATACATTTTAGCAAATTTTAAATAAGAAAACAATAGCTAAGTAACCTTGATCGATAAATGAACTTGAGATGATGTGCCATTTGATAACATTATGTGATTATATGAATGCGCTAGACATGTTATAAACATTGAAGCTGAAAAGTACAATAATGTTTACAACAAGTCTAGCTCTTTTATTACAATATTGAATGTTATGGAAGGACATTTTATATGAAGTTTAAGTAGTATTTATGGTCAAATGTCTATGATTATACACATATATACCGTTAAAATATGTTACTCTGACGTTTTACTATGATTTATGTACATTCCCATAGCAACAATCATCTACTTGTGAGGCCGGTATACCTCTCCACACATAGATAAAGAGAATTAAAGTCCCGCTTGACCTAGGTATATAAATGATCTTCAAATAACATGTAATTTCGAAACATTCAGTTGGGTCACTTAGGAGATTGACATGTTATAAATCTGGTGATCAACTTTTATCATTACATCAGCCTTAATGCCGTATTTTTGACTTCGTTGACCTGGTTATATACCTTTTTTATAGCTCATGTACAAGTTCAATGTATTTAAATTACATATATATATATTCCGATTTGTGATAAGAATATTTGAATATGACTTGCCATGGGGTTGAAATTTAGGGTGACTATTACCTCTTTTAGGGGGCTTGTTGAACCTTAAGTATAATTATTAGATACCTGGTTTGAACGACAACATAAAATAGGCAAAATGGTATTAAATAGTTCGGGTCAAAGACTAGGCACTATATTTTTCGATTCGATTACTGCCTACCAAAAGGAAAGAAGTTGTCGAAAACTTTAGAGGAACAACTAATGTTGTAGAATAGATATAATCAACATGTGTTTTTTATATAAAAATCTTAAATAGTTCTTTAATAATTATTAATCCATTTTAATAGGGAAAACATTGCGGTGATGCTTAAAATCTACGCAAATTGAAACTTATGTTAAATAGTAATTATTGAGTAACAGCTTCAATATTCCCTCATTTAGACAGTGTTGTCGGTAACATATCTAAAGTTGTTGCTGTTATTATTACCTCCTTGGTAGACTCTGCCTTCCCTGATCATGTTTGCCAATTGTCGAGGGAGGAAGGCATGGTACAAGTTGTCGTTTCTGTTTTTCTCACTATTTAGGTCCTTCTGTAGGCGGGTCACATGTTCTTTGTCTTCTATACTTAACGCCATCAACCTCTGTTGCTCCAACAGTAGTGTGGTATCCTGTTGTACCACTGTCGTTTGACCAGCAGCTATTCTACAAAGGGGATCATTCTAAAAATGTTAGCTTCGTTCTCAATATTTCAGAATATCAAAACATACAGATTCGTTCAGTCACCTAAGACACAAGCTAATGAATGTTGTAGCATAATTTTATAAAGATAGTAATAATGTTACCTCCTTCTTTTCTGAAAATATTGATTTGGAGACTTGAATGAATGCATTTTTATGATTGAATAATGAGACCACACTATACAATCCGTATTTCCTGTTACGTGTTTCAAAAAGCAATAAGGCAATACGGAACTTACCTTTTATACCTAAATTGGTATTATATACTGACCAAAATTAAATCATACAGGATTCCTATATGTACCCGATACATCACGTGATATCTTTTCAGCATTCTAAATCTAAACAAGTCATGGTACTAAACTCTCTCGTAGACTTGAACACAGAAAGATTCTTGAAGAAAAAAGGGTTTATATTCACCCAGTCAAATACCCTCCCTTCACTGGTAGAATCTATGTTCGCCCAGAGTATATGTATATATTATGCTGTGTAATAATATCCAAAATCATTATGAATTTGCCCCAATTATGAAAGGGCGAAAACGGCAAAACTGAAACTGCGACGAAACTTTCCTTAATAAAGGGTATATATTAACATACGATGAAAGCATCATATCTGTGGGTAAAAGTTTGAATGTTAAGTTATCTATGACTTATGATTTGAAAATATTACCAACCTGTATGTGAGGTCAGTCAATAAGAAGTCACGTGTTGCGTCCCAGATAGGTATGTCGGCCATTTTCATATCCCGCTTCTCAAGATCTGGCCATGATCTTACTACCGGGGAGCAGATGAAGAAAAAGAAGTTTCTATCCATCAGGAAGAACATCTGACCTGTGGGAATCAAAGACTATTTAAATGTGCTATTTCCAAAATACATCTTTTAATTACGGCAAACATCTGAAGGGTGTTCATCACTTTCTGAAACGTTAAGTTCACCAAACATAAAAAAGAAATAGAACATGTGCTAAGTCCTTAAAATATTCTATCTCTAAATTCTAAATGTTTTCACACTATATGTATTTGTTTCATGGTGAGAATTTGTTAAATATTGCACATGCTATTTTCAAAGAGTGAATTGTTAACACACCTTTAACCTGGAATGGACCATAATGCAAAAAGTCTTTGGCCAATCGGTCTTTCTGTACTTCCAGGATAAATGGACACATTATGAAATTCTTGATGTTTTCAAAAGTGAAGTCGGTACATCTTGGATACTTGAGAGTGAAGAAGTCTGTGACCTTAGCCATCCTGCTTCTAATAGACGGCATCATCTTCTGTAGTCGCACGCCTGTCTGGTACAGTTTCATATCAGAGTCAAATACTAGATGGTACGGGAAGACATCTATAAACATTTTGGGGTTGATTGCACTCTGATGAGGATAGCTGGCCACGAATCCCCTGGAAAAGAGACTGATCTTTGCGATGGCCTTCCACTTCGCCTTTGCGCTACGGTACTTGTTGAGAGGGAGTGCGTCCTCTCCCTGAGTCCTGAGGATCTCTTCCAGGCGGGCACGAACTGCATCCACGTCCTGCAATTGTCATCTTATAACGTAATGGGAAAGAGGACAAAAGAACTCTGTTGGTTTTATAAGCTTATAACAAAATGTTGAAACTTTGTAAAATGACGCATTTCTGAATTTAAGTTATATTTTGAAATCTGTACTTCTATAGGGGTTTTTTGTCGTTTCTTAAAAAATAATAAGTCATATTCTGAAGAAATTAAATAAGGAGGAGGAGAAAGGAAGGAAGGAAGATGGAGAAGGAGGTTTGTTATGAAAACAAATGGGTCCTTGCTGTCCAGAATAGATACCGTTTTAAGAATCTGGCGTTCCGCGTTCTTTGGTGTTTGAGCTACAAATGTAGGGGGGCCTTCCGTGTCAGGTTTTTCTTCCGGCTTCTTGGCAAGGATGTTTATGATGACATGTTCTCTGTATCCGCTCTCCTGTGCTACTGACTCTGCAGTAATGGATATTATACTCGTGGTCAGCTGCATACCGAACTGGGACTTGGCTACGGCGGTTAGGAACCCTGAAAAAAACCCAGTGTCAACCTATGAATAATAGGATGTATACCTTATATATTCGAAGTAATGCCGGTACGATGTACTTACTTTTTAAGTGGATGAGACATAGATATATATTTTAAATTTCATTACCTGGTACTGAAATCAGAATAAATTCCAAAAAGGCAACAAACAGAACAGAGAATACTCCTTACAAACAAACATCAGGTCGTGATTACGACTATATTCATTTTCGGCAAAGATTTTAACTCTCAGTGTTAAAATAAGGTAAGAAAAACTAAGCTCAGTGAAGGTTTTCATTATGTTAATCTGTCTTTTGATAGCATGTCGCTCATTACCATCTCTTCACATAGATAGGGCTGGTAATGGTAAGCCGGTCAGAAGACTGTGATCCGGTTACCGCAATCAATAACCGAAATCAATAACCGAAAAAGCCCTATGACTATCGATTAGACCTGAATCGGAATTCTTGGTAATGAAAACAATGTTCAGACTGACCATTTTGTGTTGTTTTTGAACCCAATATTAAAGATTTACAAAGAGATGTCGACCGCACAATAAAAAACATGGACAGATTTTTAAAGTAAACCAGAATATAAAGTTGTGTAATGACAACCCTAGTTTCTATAAAACACAATACGATTCCCAAACTCCATGTTAGACGATGCACCCTGATATGACCTAGGGTGCCTACGTTTTAACTATACTGACCTGTGATAAAACAAATATATCCGGGTCGGACCGAGTAGTAGTGAAGCGTCATCCTGTCGGAAACCGAATCTCCCTCACACCGGAAGCTTGGCATCACCTCCTCCTGGTATTCTTCCTTCAGATACGTCTGTACGTAGTCAAGATTCTGAACGAAGTCAAGCGTGTTGGAGCCTAGGTTTCGGATAAGCTCGTCATAGGAGTTCTTATTCAAAAACTCCATAAAGAACTCTCCGACCAATGTAAGAAAGGCATCCCGTTTAAGACCTGAGAGACAAGCAGGCCAGTTTAGGTGAATATTAATATACATTTTACATAATACCAATTGTTTTAATGACATTCAATTCTACGACAAAATTATCCATTGTTGTTTCACCTAGTTGTCGATTATGTCAGCCGGACAAACAAACAGTGTGTAGGTTGTACATACGAGGAAGAAAGGTAAATAATAACAAACAATTTAGACAAAACTTAAAGGATTAACTTGATATATGTAAGTGTATATGTTATTTAAATTTGCACTACCAATATGACATTTTCCGTAACACGTTTTTAGTTCAAATACAATCATCATAATACGTACATGCATAAATCCATTACATGTACACCCCATGCTAAAACACACAATCACATATCAGCATCATGTATATGGAGATATATGTAAATATACATTAAAAACAGAGCTTATGGTTAATGTAAGGGACCGGTTTATGTAAAGTCTGAAAGTATATTTTTTTTGGCAAAAGTATGTACGCATGACGTTTCTGTAGTGCAAGTCTGAAAACAATTGAAACCAAAGATTACCTGAAATATGATATGTATGCTGTTCTTTACACTAATGCTTAAAACGAGTCACGGATCCTGACAGTATGGCGTACTTTGATGGTTAACCATTACCTACCTAGGGTATGGACCGCCGCGTTTATAAACTTCTGTGTAAGTGCGTCGTCATGTTTCTCAGAAGACTGGAACTGCCCACTATGGTTAACCTCTTTCCTGTAATTATAGGATTATTGTTATTGTCGCAAAAAGTCCGTAGTTTCTGTGTATATCCTACATAAATGAAAGAGCAATAATATTATTCTGAATTTCAAGTTGTCCTTAATAAGTGTTTTGGATATACTGATTCTAGACAGTTCGAAATTTGGATTATCATAAATCCATTATATCGTTTTATATCGATGAGAATAAAGTATTGCTGCACTGTTATAACGTTAGTTCAATTCTTAGTGGAACATACAATACGAACGTGCATAAAACAACGATGAAGTACCCCTTGTGGAAAGGTTGTCATACAAAGACACGATCAAATCTATAAACAGTACAACCTCTTTCTTGATAATGCTGATATGTCAACATTGAATATTTTTAACACATAAAAAGTGGGCTAAATGTTCGCTGACTATATTTTCATATAAGAATTTAATGTTTACTCACAAAATTGATTTCCATTGTGCCTCACCGTGCCTCTCCAGGACATAGGTTTTAAGTACGACGTTAAGGTGCCCGTACTGAAACAAACAATATATTGTTATTAACACAAACAATATGATTACCAGAAATAAAATGAAACCGCGAGGTATGTCAAAAAACTGCTAAAATAGTATATTCTTACTGTCAAATGCTTTTCACGGAATAATGTTATTTCAGTTTCAGACAAAACGTAAGCAAGATACTAAGTTTTTAAATTTTCAAGTTATAAATACACGATTAAACATTAACAATGATATTATCATCAAATTGTTAAATTGTCCTTATATTAACATTCTCATGCTGTTTGAATATAATTGCAATGATAAAGAAGCGAGTGTGTCATATTGGTATCCTAGCAACAGCCACATGTCGAGACACGAAATGACTGACTTCATTTCCACATGGTAAGTTACCGCTAGCAGCTAAGACTGTTTAAATATGTGTACTAAGCATGAAATATATCTTATCATTGCTATGCCATTCAAAAACCGAAATTGTCGAAATGTTTTGAAATTTAATTTAAAAACTGTAAAAGGGGAAAGCAAAATTCCTTCTAGATTTAGCAACGTTAATGATAACGAAATATAGTCAACAATCAAACAATGCAAGAGTTAAGGTAAAAATTAATCTGAACTTACCATATTGGTGTTTTTTGTCTGTTTTAACAAAATCAAAAGTGTTTGTCGTCCATTTTTGTGTAATCAGCTAGGGGCGCTGTGTGTCTGTGCGGAGCCAAGTGTGGGACTGACTCGTCACTACATCTATGACCTGACTCGGGCGTTTTATGGCGACATTCCTCCTCTGGTCTTTCCGTGTCCCCAGTGAAAGTCCGTGTTTGAGCACGTCGTGTGGACGTTGCTGTAACGCTATGATACATTGATCTGTGTTTGGGGATGTAAAACACACCTAAAAAGTTCTACCACCAATAAAATGGCTATTTACCCTCAGTGTTATCGTATGTATTTTGCAACTTCGAATGACAAATTCGACGTCTTCATATGAAACATTCAGGTTAAAGTTTCTTTAGGACATCAACACAAAAACGAAACAAAAACATAAAAGAACACCAAATATTATATAGATAGCCTGTTAAAACTGCAATGATGCGATCACTATCTTTATTAAATAGCAATAACGTTTTGTGAACAAACAACTATCTACTGACAAAACTGAGTATGTATATTTTAATGAAGCAATAAACGTAGTATTAAAATGATAAAACGCCTCTTCAATATTTTTTCTCGAAATACTACGAATTCATTGTGGGTAAACGTTGTGGTATATATTGTTTGTATGTATTCATTCTATGGTAAATGGTGTTCTTTCGTAAGAAAAACTTATGCGTTTAACGTTTCAAGTTCTGTGCTGTTTGACTGACAAGACGCATTCCCTTCACCTTGTTTGTTTATAGAACAGATTATGGTTCGGGTGGCGCAGTGGACAATGCATTCGCCATTCATCAAGGCGGTCGAGTACTCCAATCGGACGTGACAAGGAATGGAGTCACCGACCTGGCCAAGTGGGTTTTCTCCGGGTGCTCCGATTTCCTCTCACATTATATTAGGAACCCCCACACACTACCATCCGGGACAAAAAGAGTATTTGATATAAGTTGAAATATGTTTTGAAATAAATAAAGTTTGAATCTTGAAGAATTGATTATAAATTAAATCAGTCCGACCACGGTAGAAGACTTATCCAACAATAATAAATCCAACAATGATAATATAATTTCCATCGCTAACTCAGCTGTAGCACTACAGACTACATATCCGCGGCTTTATACGTGTTAATAGCACAGTCCATCTCTACACGTGTTAAAAAACAGCCCATCTCTACACGTATTAAAGCACAGCCAATCTCTACACGTGTTAAAACACAGCCCATCTCTACACGTGTTAAAACACAGCCCATCTCTACACGTATTAAAGCACAGCCAATCTCTACACGTGTTAAAACACAGCCCATCTCCACACGTATTAAACCACAGCCCATCTCTACACGTGTTAAAGCACAGCCTATCTCTCCACGTATTAAAGCACAGCCAATCTCTACACGTGTTAACACACAGCCCATCTCTACACGCATTAAAGCACAGCCCATCTCTACACGTCTTAAAACACAGCCCATCTCTCCACGTGTTAAAACACAGCCCATCTCTACACGTGTTAAAACACAGCCCATCTCTACACGTGTTAAAGCACAGCCCATCGCGAAGGGATGTTCTAGGTCTCCATTACAATATCGACTCTATATTTTATGGAACTCTGTCGATATGTGGATGACAATATAACAGATTTAGTGGTAAATCCATATAGAAGTTCGTTTTACACTCCCATAACAGAATGGGTACCATATTTGGCCGTTTTATTCCAGAGATATCACAGGGAGTATTTATCACGTCATACACCTACAACACACTAGATCACAGGGAGTATCTAGATCTATCACTGTATACAATCTACAACACACTAGATCTCAGGGAGTATCTAGATATATCACTATATACAACCTACAACACACTAGAACACAGGGAGTATCTAGATCTATCACTTTATACAGCCTACAACACACTAGATCACAGGGATTATCTAGATCTATCACTGTATACAATCTACAACATACTAGATCTCAGGGAGTATCTAGATATATCACTATATACAACCTACAACACACTAGAACACAGGGAGTATCTAGATCTATCACTTTATACAACCTACAACACACTAGATCACAGACAGTATTTGTCACTTTATACAACCTACAACACACTAAATCACAGGGAGTATTTATCACTTTATACAACCTACAACACACTAGATCACAGGGAGTATCCATCACTTCATACAACCTACAACACACTAGATCACAGGGAGTATTTATCACTTTATACAACCTACAACACACTACATCACAGGGAGTATCTAGATCTATCACTTTATACAACCTACAACACACTAAATCACAGGGAGTATTTATCACTTTATACAACCTACAACACACTAGATCACAGGGAGTATTTATCACGTCATACAACCTACAACACACTAGATCACAGAGAGTATTTATCACTTTATATAACCTACAACACACTAGATCACAGGAAGTATTTATCACGTCATACAACCTACAACACACTAGATCACAGGGAGTATCCATCACTTCAGTCAACCTACAACACACTAAATCACAGGGAGTATTTATCACGTCATGCAACCTACAACACACTAGATCACAGGGATTATTTGTCACTTCATATAACCAATAACACACTAGATCACATGGAGTATTTGTCACTTCATACAACCGAAACACTCTTACCTGCATGCAATTTGCACTGCTTTGGGGAACAACATTAAACCGCTTGAGGTATGTATGACTTCATACAACCAGAACACAATAGAACACTGGAGAAAGGACATTTATCATTTAATTTACTTGTATGGGTTGTCTATCGTACCCCTTTCATAGCGAATACGTGTAAGGTCGAGCGAATGCGATTGCACGAGTATTTCCAATACCCACGCCACCCTGGGTGTCGTATACACTAGCACCCGTGATCTTCCCACCCCACTCTGCACTGTGCTCCGTCGGAGCAGGACGGAACTTTCCAGGCCTCTGGTAAGTCATTATCATTGTAGTAGAAATATGTAAATGTACATCAGCACAGTGCAATATAATATAATATGATACTATATCTGAATAATAACGTCGAAGCTTATAAAGCGAAATTAGAACTAAATAGTGTAGATAGACACCGTTTCGCATTTATTGTAAACGTTAGGTTCGTACTTAGTTCGACCGATATATTTTAATACTAATATATTGTATTTTAGGTTTATATACTGGACATGTAATAAACCAATGAACCCAAATCTTGTGCTCGTTATTACTGAGGAGTGAACGACTTTACAATGGCGGCCAACGTAAATGGTGGAACCAAAAAGAAGCCAACGTGCCTTGAGTGATACTAATTGAGGGAAGAGCGGAAGTTGCGATTATAAACTTCCGGTGGCCGATCTATTTATGAAGCTGTAAAGATATTTTTTGTGTGCGGTAACGTACCTGAGACTCTAGAAGGACTTCTCACAGCTAGTATAGCCTACTTGTTCAGCGTACGATATAGAGAACAAAAACAACGCAAAACAGATTGAAATGAAGAAACTAAATTTATTTTATTGTTAAAAAACGGACATAATTTGTCACACTTGTAATTGACTTTGAAAAAATATAATCGTTTTAAAATAAGGAAAGAAGGATATTGCTGCTTAAACAGAACTAATATATATATCGATAAAGTACCCTAATGTACACAATTCATAACTATGATGATCTGAATAAAGATCGATAAATCAGAAAAGATTCGGTAAATGGAGACATTGTTTTTTATCGTTATTTTACTTGTAGTCTTTCTAGTCAAGAACATCATACAGCAGTGAATTTAAGGTATAAAAAGAAATACATCACGTAATGAGTTTAACACTGAAAATTGATGAGAGTGGTACTTTTCATTCTAGTAAATATGAATACAATTAGATATATATTATAGTAAAATCTAACTGTATCACTCCCTGGACAGTCAGAGACAATCTCATAGTATCATAAAGTATTGTTATATTTCGGTCAGTTTCACTTGACTGACCAACTACAGATCGTGCAATCATGTGTTATGCATGTAAGGTCTATTTATTTCATAAAATATTTACATATACTTGAAATAACTTTAAACATACTTTCTTCATACACATTCACTCTTTGCGTATCACTGCAAAGTCACGTGACTATTTCATATCACGTGACTACTGCAGATAACCGCTGTTATTGTAAGTTAAAAGGTCCCAACGGGTCCAGTACATATATAATGACACATACCTATACACTAGATCGACAGAACACTACCAGTATACACCAACACAAGGCTGATTTCACATACTATTGATAATTTGCATAAGTTTACTTGAAAATGTACATATTAAAGTAAAAATTGATGGACAATTATATCCACGTTAATAAGCAACTACAGGAGTTGGATGATAGCCTGGATACTCGGCAATATACAGGGGTGAATTTTAACATCGTTATACTGCCATGTACAAGGGTGAATTTTAACATCGTTATACTGCCAGGTACAGGGGTGAATTTTAGCCCCTATTTGTTAAGCGAGGTATAGCAGTTGAATTTAATTGAATGTGAAAAAATTGAAATGGTATTCCTTGTGCAGCGTACAAGATTGCAGTTCACAAACATATGATGAAAACGATACAATGGTTACAATACAGTGTTCAAGTAGATGTAAAAGTCCAGCTTTATATATGATGTTTGTTACCGAGAACAAAATGAGATGAAACGTTACATTACAATATAAATATAAAATAAACAACAGACAACTGCCATCTGTTTTTAAGAATAAAGATATTCACGTATATCGTTAAATAAACATGTATACATTTCAAAGATTTTAAAATATCTAATGTTTCATGTAAATATTGATTTATATCTATATACCTATAATTTTATTCGCACGTTATTGACAATCAATACATCTAATATTGATCAATGCTCTGTATCACCTTTACTGATATAGTCTGATATACAAGCACTCCATTGACCTGAACAGTGGTAACTTAACTGGAAATGTATTTATTAACACGACTGATTTGTTAGTTTATCTAAGTTAACTCCACATCTGGTCTCTACTCTATGACTGTATTTATCAGTGTCTTATTCTAAAATGGTGTTGACGAACAGATACTGGCATTGTCTATATTGATATAACAGCACGTGTGTTTAGGGTGCAGGCGCAGGCGTTGTTACTGATTCCTGTACGCATGCCTTCTCTATGTGATTGTAGATGCCCACTGCGCATGACACTATTGCGACAGTTCTGTTGGAGTAGCACACAGTGTAGAGTCTGGTGAATTGCTTCCCGGGGAACATGTTACTCCCGTCCTCTTTATCGATGCAGCTTGGGAATTTTGACTCGCACGGTTCACATCCGGTGCCGAAACATTGGTTCTGAACATACTCGCCTACAACACCAAAGAGGTAGGAAATGAAAAAGCATATCATTATCCTAATGAGTTTTATCACATATACAGTTGTCCCTATATAGTATTGAGAAGCTTTAAAGGAAGACTAAAACACCATATAGGAATTAAATAAAACTGCACGTAAATGCTGTAGCAAGTTGGGCATAGAATTATCTTAATGACTGTTATGATATAAAGTTGATCCTTATATTGCTTCACTGAAGCACCGCTCAACAAAAAGGACAGAGTAAAATCAATGTAACTCAATTAGAACCAAATACTAATTTCGAACACAATTTATCGGTAAAATAGTGAACACATTTAACCTCAAATTTATACATATTAAGAACGTTCGTTTTTAATGTAAGTGAACTAGAAGGCATGACTTGTTCTGTTTAAATCACTTAATATAAAAGTTTTACTTTATACACAAACAATGTATGGGGTAGCTTGACAAAGGGACCAGTCGGTCTTGTCTAATACGTACATTGTTTATGTATAAAGTAAAATGTTGATCTTACATAAGTAAACCACCTACGTTTCGTCGACACTCTGAGATTGTCATCAGAATCATTCACCAGGTAAGAAACAATACAAGAGGGTGTATCATTTGTTTGATAACGTTGGCATAAAATGACTTAATATTTAATCGCAATCCTCTCAGCATAACGTATAAATGTATCTCTCGTGAAATATTGGTGAAAAGGAACTTACATTGCACGCGGAAGGGAAATTATATTTAATCATTCACTTCAAAGAAAACGTTACTTACAGGGGGCCCTTGGTTCATATCTTTCCTGGCATGATACCGTGGTAAAGATTTGACACCCCATGCTGGACGAAACGAACAGCTTCGGGTATTTACACTCAGCCATGTAGGGCTGGCTCATACCCTTGCTCAGACCAGAGTTACTACAGTTGAAATACCGGGCACAGTTTGTGGGGTCGGGAATCAAGTCGAATGGGTTGGCTTCACAGTGGCTGGATAAAAGGTCTGCAAAGAAAAGAGGCAAGTTACAGAGCTGTTGCTGAACCAGCGCTGATCAATATGAAGTGTACCATGCTGGGTTTGTTTGTTATATAGATTACTGAACCAGCGCTGATCAGTAGGAAGTGTACCATGCTAGGTTTGTTTATTATATAGATCACTGAACCAGCGCTGATCAATATGAAGTGTACCATGCTAGGTTTGTTTATTATATAGATTGCTGAACCAGCGCTGATCAATATGAAGTGTACCATGCTAGCTTTGATTATTATATAGATTGCTGAACCAGCGCTGATCAATAAGGAGTGTACCATTCTTGGTTTGTTTATTATATATATTACTGAACCAGCGCTGATCAATATGAAGTGTTCTATGCTGGGTTTGTTTATTAAATAGATTACTGAACTAACACTGATCAATATGAAGTGTACCATGCTAGGTTTGTTTATTATATAAATTACTGACCTAACACTGATCAATATGAAGTGTACCATGCTTGGTTTGTTTGTTATATAGATTGCTGATCCAGCGCTGATCAATATGAGGTGTACCATGCTAGGTTTGTTTATTATATAGATCGCTGAACCAGCGCTGATCAATATGAGGTGTACCATGCTAGTTTTGTTTATTATATAGATTACTGAACCAGCGGTGGTCAATATGAAGTGTACCATGCTAGATTTGTTTATTATATAGATTGCTGAACCAGCGCTGATCAATATGAAGTGTACCATGCTAGGTTTGTTTATTATATAGATTACTGAACTAACACTGATCAATATGAAGTGGACCATATGTTTATTATATAGATTGCTGAACCAGCGCTGATCAATATGAGGTGTAACATGCTAGGTTTGTTTATTATTTGGATTGCTAAACCAGCGCCTATTAATATGAAGTGTACCATGCCAGGTTTGTTTATTATTTAGATTTCTAAACCAGCGCCTATCAATATTAAGTGTACCATGCTAGGTTGGTTTATTATATAGATTACTGAACTAACACTGATCAATATTAAGTGGACCATATGTTTATTATATAGATTGCCGAACCCGCGCTGATCAATATGAAGTTATCCATTCTAGGTTTGTTTTATATATAGATTGCTGAACCAGCTCTGATCAATATGAAGTGTACAATGCTAGGTTTGTTTATTATATAGATCGCTGAACCAGCGCTGATCAATATGAAGTGTTCTATGCTGGGTTTGTTTATTATTTAGATAGCTAAACCAGCGCCTATCAATATTAAGTGTACCATGCTAGGTTGGTTTATTATATAGATTACTGAACCAGCGGTGGTCAATATGAAGTGTACCATGCTAGGGTTGTTTATTATTTAGATTGCTAGACCAGCGCCTATCAATATGAAGTGTCCCATGCTAGGTTTGTTTATTATATAGATTGTACCATGCTAGGTTTGTCTATTATTTAGATTGCTAAATCAGCGCCTATCAATATGAAGCGTACCATGCTAGGTTTGTTATTATTTAGATTGCTAACCCAGCGCCTATCAATATGAAGCGTACCATGCTAGGTTTGTTATTATTTAGATTGCTAAACCCGCGCCTATCAATATGAAGTGTACCATTCTAGGTTTGTTTATTATATAGTTTGCTTAACCAGCGCTGATCAATATGAGGTGTACCATGCTTGGTTTGTTTATTATTTAGATTACTAAACCAGCGCCTATCAATATGAGGTGTACCATTCTAGGTTTGTTTATTATATAGATCGCTGAACCAGCGCTGATCAATATGAGGTGTACCATGCTAGGTTTGTTTATTATATAGATTGCTGAACCAGCACTGATCAATATGAAGTGTACCATGCTAGGTTTGTTTATTATTTAGATTGCTAAACCAGCGCCTATCAATATGAAGTGTACCATGCTAGGTTTGTTTATTATATAGATCGCTGAACCAGCGCTGATCAATATGAAGTGTACCATGCTTGGTTTGTTTGTTATATAGTTTGCTGAACCAGCGGTGGTCAATATGAAGTGTACCATGCTTGGTTTGTTTATTATTTAGATTGCTAGACCAGCGCCTATCAATATGAAGTGTACCATGCTAGGATTGTTTATTATATAGATTGATGAACTAACACTGATCAATATGAAGAGTACCATGCTAGGTTTGTTTATCATATAGATTGTTGAACCAGCGCTGATCAATATGAAGTGTACCATGCTTGGTTTGTTTGTTATATAGATTGCTGATCCAGCGCTGATCAATATGAAGTGAATCATGCAAGGTTTGTTTGTTATATAGATTGCTGAACCAGCGCTGGTCAATATGAAGTGTACTATGCTAGTTTTGTTTATTATATAGATTGCTGAACCAGCGTTGGTCAATATGAAGTGTACTATGCTAGTTTTGTTTAATATATAGATTGCTGAACCACCGCTGGTCAATATGAAGTGTACTATGCTAGTTTTGTTTATTATATAGATCGCTGAACCAGTGCTGATCAATATGAGGTGTACCATGCTAGTTTTGTTTATTATATAGAGTGCTCAACCTGCTCTTATCAATATGAAGTGTACATGAGGTGTACCATGCTAGGTTTGTATGTTATATAGATTGCTGATCCAGCGCTGATCAATATGAGGTGAACCATGCTAGGTTTGTTGGTTATATAGATTGCTGAGCCAGCGGTGATCAATATGAAATGTACCATGCTTGGTTTGTTTATTATATAGAGTGCTCAACCTGCTCTTATCAATATGAAGTGTACCATTCTAGGTTTGGTTATTATATAGATTGCTGATCCGGCGCTGATCAATATGAAGGGTACCATGCTAGGTTTGTTTTTTATTTAGATTGCTAAACCAGCGCTGATCAATATGAAGTGTACCATGCTAGGTTTGTTTGTTATATAGATTGCTGAACCAGCGGTGATCAATATGAAATGTACCATGCTTGGTTTGTTTATTATATAGATTGCTGAACTAACACTGATCAATATGAATTGTACAATGCTAGGTTTGTTTATTATATAGATTACTGAACCAGCGGTGGTCAATATGAAGTGTACCATGCTAGGTTTGTTTATTATATAGATTGCTAAACCAGCGGTGGTCAATATGAAGTGTACCATGCTTGGTTTTGGTTTGTTTAATATATAGATTCAATGTTTCCAGTCATTTCATCATGCATAAATGTGCATTTTGTCTTTCGACGAATAAAAGTTGCGACATGGGATCGAGATTTTATGCCATTCAGAGTAGGTAAACAGAAATATAGAGGCCTATATCTTAGCAGGTAAATATAATATCATCATGTCCGTTCGAACCCGTTTAACTGTTGTCTGATCCTTTCGTTCTCAATCTTTTTCGAAATTTAACTTTATTATGCTATTAGTAGTCTAGAAAGTAGAAATTACAGTTTTTATATTTGATGTGAATGGTCCCAGACAGTGTGATATACTTACTCGGATTAATCTGAGGGGAACAACTTCTGATCGTTTGATCATACAGGGAAACCTGGCAGGCCTCCACGGAAACAGTCCTGTTTTGGAAACACTGAATGTAGAATTCGGACAACAGACGGCCTGGGAACGGGTTGTTTCCGTCCGGAAGTGACACGCAGCTGGGGAGCCGTTCCTCACACGGTTGACATCCGGGGTAGTTAGGGGGACAATGATTCTGGAGGTAGTCGCCTAAGTAGACAAAGGTGATAATCTAAGTCATTGTGGAGACTCAAAATCATTTAACAAATATAGAATTTAGTTCCCAATATTTTAAAAGTCAATAACATATCAGATATATAGAATTTCAAAATTGATTTCACTCTTAGGACATCTAGTTTATACCATATTTTATAAATGTTTAAAGAAATTTCACTTTGATGATTGGGAAACAAGTACTATTGTACTTATACATAGTCCTTCTCGTCGTTCATAAAAAGCTTAGCTGATAAATGTAGTTAAACTTTTTAATGTTGTTAAAATTAAAATTGCTTATGAATCTTCTTGTTGATTTGATAAAATTTTGGGTAGCTGTAAAAATGTGTACATTTTGATCATACGTTTTTAAATATCAAAATACTAAGAAAAGCAAAATACTTTATCTCTGTTTCAATGTTTAAGAATATCGCAGGCAAGTGGGCAGCGATTTTTTTCATTGGTTTGTAAATCCCAAATATTATTGATATAAAGGGATTGAACGGCGTTATTTAAATGTTCATACCGGCATGAAAATTTAAAAAAAACGCAGCTTAATCCATATATTTACTTTTTACTATAGAACAATTTTATTTATTCATTTTTTTTTAATTATTACTGCGTTTTGTATATGCGTCGTCGTTTAACCCTCAGACTGCCACGGGGCCGATTTGGGCCGATCTGATTTTTACGTTGACTGCCGCAGGTCCGATCTGGGCCGATCGGCTTTTAACGAATTTTGACGTCACGCTCAGCATTGTCCATGACGTCATCAAGTCATGTGACATGAGAAGATCTGGAAACTATTTGTTCTGTGAGGCGATTTATGTTCAAATTTCAATCATTGTAAAAAAAGTATATCGGCATCGCAGACGCAAATATCGTATACCAATGGAAAGCTGAGAAACTGATCTTGAAGCTCGTATTAAAAGAAGATGACATGCTTTCCCCGTTTTTTTAAATACCCGTCCATAGAATAGAGAACAAAATACCCGTCCATAGAATAGAGAACAAAATACCCGTCCATAGAATAGAGAACAAAATACCCGTCCATAGAATAGAGAACAAAATACCCGTCCATAGAATAGAGAACAAAATACCCGTCCATAGAATAGAGAACAAAATACCCGTCCATAGAATAGAGAACAAAATACCCGTCCATAGAATAGAGAACAAAATACCCGTCCATAGAATAGAGAACAAAATACCCGTCCATAGAATAGAGAACAAAATACCCGTCCATAGAATAGAGAACAAAATACCCGTCCATAGAATAGAGAACAAAATACCCGTCCATAGAATAGAGAACAAAATACCCGTCCATAGAATAGAGAACAAAATCTCAACACTAAAGTATCTGTTTCGGTGTCATGTGATAGAGTATGGGTATTTTTCATTTATTTATCTATTTATCTTGGACTTTCTGTGAAAATTCGGAGCAACGGTGTCATTATATTAGAAACTATTCGCGGGCTTTCGTGCTGTAAGCGATGTATTTGAACTTTCAATTCCTCGGAGATATGACGTTGGATACGGTCAGTGGACATATGGCACGGACAATGTGTATAATCCCTTATACACATTATCTGGTATCATTTTTTAAAGTAACTAAACTTCTGTTTTATATACTGTAGCTTTCGGTGAAACAATAGCAAACAGAAACATTTTACAGTGATGTAAACCTATTTTCCGCAGTAGATTTCCATACACACCCTAGGTTTTTTTTATTTATTTTTTTATTTTAATTTTATCTGTATCGCAACTGAGCCAGTGTTGACTGTTGTTCAGATAAGTTGGTTAGATCAATAGTATAAGGGTCTGAGGTCTGTTCGGACCCTGTTTATTTTTTCCCTTTTTATTTCATCTCTTTTTTGTCATTAAAGTTCCATAAGTTACATGTATGTCTCTTTCACTTCGAAGAAATGATTGATCAAGTCTATAGTCAGACTGGAAAAAGTTTCCAGTGCATAATTAGTAACGTAACAGGGGCGCGTTCGGGTTCAAATATATATCATTTTAAAGAAGCTGTGGTTCTCTAAGTCGCTTCAAACAGTTACTAGTTAACGACCTAGTTTGACGAAGATATACGTGCCTCGGCGTGCAAGAATCAGTGAGAATAGGTTATTGTATTATGAACTTGAAGACGTCAATAAAAACATTGTGAAATAGTTAATATAATGTCGACTGAAATATTCGGTACCTTGTTTTGTTTGTCTTAGTTATGTTAACTGAATCAAACCATTGCTAACTTACAAGAAGAATGTCTGGCCTGTTGGTTGTCTCACAAATTCCTCATAAGATGTAAGTAAACATTATTGAATAAAAATGGTTTAACATCATGTTGGGACATTTGAACGCTACACAGGTACCACTAGCCTAATTTTAGTTTCTCTCTCGCTTTGATGGATAACGTTGTCTAAGGTTTTGCTGGCTATTATTTGCTATGAATAGCGTTACGATTGGTTGTTTTTATTCACGTCATATCAGTATCTATTACGTAAACAAAATGTGCCGCCCCAACAACCACCCCATTCCAACCGATTAATTAGGCTTTATATTAGAACTATTAGCGATACCGACAGTATCTGACTGTGATTAGAAGACGAATACATGTACGAAATAGAGGAAATGACTCACCGGTTCTATATGCACGTTCAACTGAACAAAATCGCAACTCTTTCGAAAATCAAAGACTTCCGCCTTCGATTTTTTACTGAGCGTGTAACCCTTGGATTTTGAAATTGCAGGAAATAGAGAGCATCATATATGATTGTGTACAACAGATCTAGATCGTACACACATTCTAATTCGTTGTCATACACTAAAGGTAAAACATTCCACATCTGCAAGTTTCTACAATATAACTTAATATCGGCCGGTATAGCAACATGCGCACTAACTGCTGAATTACATGTAATTATATAAAGTAACAGATAATTATTTAAGCTTTCCATAGAGGTATAACATGTTGTTCTAGGTGATCGTTATAGTTTTATATGATTGTTTAAATATGAAGTAATTCAATGTATTTTTCCATGAAGTTTCCGGAGTATACGTAATTGGGTCTACGCATAAATTGTTGACGTCATAGTACAACGACGTCATTATTGGACATTTCAAAACTACGCTGATTCTTGGCCTGACAGAAAATCAGGGTTATCACTGTGGCAGCGACACTGGCGGAACAGCACAGTTTTAATAAAATTGGCGCCAATAATTAACCGTCGTCATTTGAGCGTCTGACGCAGGGGCATAATTCTCCATGTTATCCGAAGCGAAGCAACAAGACTGTCATTGAACAAGGTTAATATATAACGTCATAAGTAAACCACGTGATACGTCACGAGAGTTTATGCTTTCATACTCGAAAGAAATACATTTCTGCTGGTAACGTTCATATTGTGGGTTGAAGCACAAATGTAAATATAGATGGGATTGATGACGTCATTTCAATTGTCTTAAATCTGACGTCACAATAGGAGTTAATACACCAGTTCATAGACAAAACTCGAAAAGAAAATTGTAAAATCTGCTTAGCATCTAGGCATGTGAAAAATGCCATTTTTGTGATAAAAGGTAAAATAATTCTAGTATAAATGATAACCGTTTGCGTATGAATTGAATGCTAAACCATTCCGCCAGTTATATACGCAATTCAATCAGGTTTATTGATGGATAAACTCACATGGAGCTTGTGGTTGGAATTTGTCTCTGCAGTTGACTTCGGAAAAATTGCGACAGGTGTCTGTAGATTCCTCAAACAGCTGTGGGTATTTACACTCCCGGAGGAACGAACCGCCGATGGCCTGACGACAGTCGTAGTATTGTGCACACTGGAATGGGTGGGGTTTGATTGCGTCTTTGTTTTTCTCACAGAAGAGCTGGACCATTACTGTGTCAGAAAGAAAACTAAATAGTAATGTACTGACAGAACAGAGTTTCATCAAGTATTTACAAGTTTGTCTGGAAAAAACATTTTACAGGGTCATCAACATATTAAATTACCACCAGAAATAGTGATGTGGTCAACTCTAAGCCTATGTAAATTCAACAATTTCCGAAATTTTCTTGACCAAAAAAAAAAATATATACTTATAAATAACACCAAACAAACTATGCCGAATATTATACGCTATAGTAGTACCAATCTTGGTCCTATATGTTCAATGAAAGCTATGTGAAGAATTGCTTGGGTTTATTATTTTCACAACACACTATGCATCAATAACGGTATACTCACTCTCCGTGACGTCATTAACACAGACTCGCGTGCCAGGGTCGTATAGCCCACGATCACACTTCTGTATGGACATTGTCCGCTCGGCCAGACAGACGATGTAAGCAGAGGTCATTGGTTTGCCGGGGTGAAGATGGTTTCCGTCCGCTAAGCCCTCACAGCTGGGGATACGGTCCTCACATTTCTGACATCTTTTATCGGCGGGGTTACATCTGTTCTGTAGGTACTCGCCTGGAATGAGTATTAGCTTTATTAGATTGTAAACAAACTACAAACGTATGTTAGTGCTCTTCTTCAAGCCACAACACATTTGAAAAAGTGAACATGTTCTGTACTCGCCTAAAAACAAGTATCAATCTGGTTAGTATTAGACAGAATCAAACAAATTTTCTTACTCGTTTTTAATAATTTCTCTCTGTGTCCGAACCATATATAGTATAGCTATTTCATTTGGTGGAATCTGAGCAATAACTGTTGCACATACATGGAAGTTTGATGTCTTTACGAGTGTCGCAAATGACGTTGGTAAAGTTCTGGCACGCGTGAGCCTCGCTGTTGAACTGCATCGGGTACGGACACTCCCTGAGGAAGGTCTGGGCACGTTTACTAGCATTCCCACAGTCAAAGTACTGGGCACAATTCAGCGGGTTGGCCTTAATCACATCGGGGTTAGCCATACAGAACCCGCGAATGGCCGCTGTAAATAGATAGTCAATGTGAGATGACAAAAGATAAGGCGACCAGAACTAGATATACCTTTTTTTTAACTATGACCAATATAAATGGTTATGTTAGAGTAGAATATGATTATAACGAGGGTGAGTTAACGTTACAAAAACATCAATGATTTAGTTTCGAATACTGTGAGTTATATGTATTCCACATCGTTAACCTCACTTTAATGTAATTGAAAGTACGTTCGTGTCTACATGTTTATTTTGCATACTTTGAAAACTTTATTTTACTTTGTTAGCTTAAAAATGATTTAAACATGAAAGGCTACCTGCAGTTAGGGCATTTGTACAACGACCAGTAGCAGGATCGAAAAATCCCTCCGCGCAGGACCGTACAGCGACGGTTCTGTTCCGGAAACAGACGATGTAGTACGTGGAAAGTTCACGTCCCGGGAATGTGTGATTTCCGGCCTCCTTCCCAATACAGCTAGGCAGACGCTCACTACAGGGACGACAACCCGTTTCCTGTGTAACTGCACATGTGTTCTGGTCGTACTCACCTGGCAAAAAAAATCAACATGGAGACGAAAAATTGGCTTTCGTATTTTTCGTGACTACTTGACCTTACGAGGTGGTCGACTGTTGGTTGACTTTCAGTCCTTGAGTTTGGACGCTGAATTGTCTGCCACAATTTACATTAAAAACCAGTTAAAATCCATTGTATCCACAATCGAACATGTGTAAGGTTATAAAGAGGCCCTGTATTTCTGCAGACGTTTCTTTTATACCCTATCGCACTAAAAAAAAAAAAAAAGACGACCATCAGCTGCTATATTTTAATATTTTACCGGGCTACGATTGTTCAATTTAATCCTGAACAAATTAAGGAGGCCTGTACCCTTGGAATAGCTAGGAAGATGTTATGCTATTCTGTAGTGGATGACGGGAGTTTGATTTTGCTATTCTACGGACAGAGAATGTTACGCTTTACCCTTGACCTGGCTAGCAATGTCACAATTGAAGCCTCTGATACTTACATGGAGCCTGAGGTATCGAGGCGGTGCCACAGTCGACTTTATCAAACTCGTCACATCTCTTTGTTTGCCGGTTGTAGAGGAGCGGATATTGACATTCCTGTACGAACGCGCCGTACATGCTCACCTCGGAGCTACAGTTGAAGTATTTCGCACAACTACCAGGATGAGCAATTTGGACGTTCGGGTTGAATTTGCAAAATGGCTTGGGATTTGCTGGTAAGGAAAAAAAGATTGTATGAGCACGGAAACTGGTCATTATTTGAGATATGTACTGTCTGACAATTGTTAAGTTTTCACGAATACCCCTGATTTTACCACTGTGCTTATAATGATTTATTTGAGATGGCATTCAATAGATATATATAATTTATTCAAATATGTCTTAAAGACATATTCGCGATATCATTTGACTCGCTATTGGTTCTCTAGATGCATGAACCAAAAATAATTTTGTTTCAAATGACTGATATGAAACATATCTGATTTTGCAGTAGACAAGTATATATATATATGTCATTTGTTAGAAAATACTGTTTTGAATACTGTAAAACCTCATTATAATGCCACTGGTTTTGTCTGTCATAACTTTTACCAAAATCATTCTGCGAGGTCCTCATTCATAATGTTCTGCACGATTTATCATCGAATTAGAATATATATACTGTAATCATTTATAACGCCAAAATACCACTACATTAACTGAGGCAATAGATAGAGGTTTTACGGTATACCATCAACCTGTCAATGGAAACACTTACAGGCGTCGATCTCGAACTGGCAAATCTTCGTCACTGGGTCGAAATATCCACGTTCACATGTCCTTACAAAGATTGTGCGATTCTTAAAGCATGTGATGAAGTAAGGCGTGTTCTCGCGGCCGGGGAACGTGTTGTTTCCATCAGAGCGACCAATACAGGGCGGAAGTCTTTCTGCGCATGGCACGCACGCCGCAGATCCGGGAGTGGGAATGCATTTGTTTTGAAGATATTCACCTGTAACAAAGCATTGTAAAAATAAGAAAATATGGGGTGGTTTTTTTTAGCTTTAATGATAAAACATATATGGATTGAACGGCGTTTTTAAAATGTTCATGCCGGTACGAACGCAAATCAGTTACTTAGTACATGTACATCCATATTAAACATGCCCTTACATGTACATCCATATTAAACATGCCCTGATGTTAAATATGGATGAAACCGATTTGCGCTCATACCGGCGTGAACGTTTTAAAAACGCCGTTCAATCCATATATGTTGATGGCATTCAATCGCAATGAATAACAAAAGTATGTCACTTTCACGTGGCCTTTAATGCCCTGATATTTCCGTGTCGGTTAGCCTTGAGAGTTTAGTCAACAGCATAGCCACCACATTTTGGTAGATACTTACAGGGTTGGATAGGCTCGAAACGGGTGTCACAGTCTACGTTACTGAAGTCCTGGCATGACATTGTTGTCCTGGAGAAGAGCAGGGGATACTGACACTCGTGGAGGTTCCGTCCGTAGGCACTGTTTGGCCTACTGCAGTCGTAATACTGGGAACACAGCATATCATTGGCTACCATATCGTTAGGTTTGAAAGCACAGTAGGGCTCCGGGTCGACTAGCAGGAAAAAACGTACATTGATTATTGCAGTAATATAGGTTGATAATAAGTATGGGAGTTTTGTTCGTTGTCTTGCTTTTTGGTGTTATGGAATGGAATGTATTATAAGCTTACTCAAAAGTATACATTCAAAACTATCTAACGCTTACATAAAACTATCTACTCAAAACTATTCACAAGCTTTCTCAAAATTATCCACTTCATACTTTCCACAAGTATATAAAACAATCAGGAAGTTTACTTAAAACGTCCTACAAAAAATATCAACAAGTTTACTTAAAACTATTTACTCATAACTATTCAGACACTTTCTTAATATATCAACTGTCTACAAGCTTACCTCAAGTTGTTCTCTCAAAACTATCTCCAAACTTACTTAAAAATATCCACTTTAAACCAAACACAATGCTTACAGTCCAACCTGTTCGACAGACCATCTTTTTAAAGAGGACCCATGTGTTCTGAAATACTATTAAATCCCCTTCACTGAAATAATATTCATAGCTGAATCATTATTAGGAGACCACTTAATGGACTTCCTGAACGTGATCTCTAGATACAGAGTTGACTGTACCAATCTTCGTCAGTGGCTTCAAACGAAATGAATGTGGATAAAACAAACTTTCAAATGGTATTATTTCTGTTTTTCTGTTTAAATTGTTTTCAAATACCCAAATATCAAATAAATGTATTTCTACAAACTACATCGGAGGGTTGTGTTATACTGAACACCACTCATCTTGACTAAATGATACTCTGAAACTAAATCACGCGTTGATCCTGATTGAAAGGCTTAAACACTGAGGATTGCTATCATGTGTTGTTCTGTAGTAGTTTAAGAACGCGTTTTATTAAGAAAAATAACTATGAAAGACCTAGCATGTATAAATTTATCCAACTTATGGAAACAGTGAACAAAAAACAGTTAACAAATTTAGCCAAACTATCAAACTGAGTAATAAGAAAAGACTATGTACCATATAAAGAGGGATGTCTCTCTACACTATACCATGGATATGTGAGTGTGTATTTACGTGTGTGTGTGTATTTGTGTGGGTGTATTTGTGGGTGTGTGTATTTGTGTGGGTGTATTTGTGGGTGTGTATATGGGTGTGAGTGATTGTATTGTTTATCCTTGTATATATGTTTATTTTGTACTGATGAGTCGTAAGGTTCAAGGTAATAAAGAACTGAACTGAATAGTGCGTAGGAACTCGTGAAAGTGTTATAAACACGGTAATACCTGGGTCAAACTTCAGGGTACATATCCGCGCGGCGTGGTCATAGTAACCGGTAGCACACGGGTCTTGGCTGGTGGTCCTGTCATCCTTACATACTATAAACATATTCCGTTGCCCTGGGAATGGATTATTTCCGTTCGGCAGACCAACGCAAGATGGAAACGACTCCTCGCAAATCGAGCAACGGTTGTTAAGGCAACGCATGTTAGCCTCGTACTCGCCTGTTAACAAAAAAAATTACATTAAACAAACTCTTCATTGATTTTGTTTCGGAATTATTAAGCATATAGTGTATTATGTCTTGAACAGATAATGACAATTATATGAGTAAGGGAGCTGATGGTTTCCCTACTGTATTTGCCTGAATGATAAGCTAAGAGAAGACTGATTTTGATACCTGTAAATTCGCAACCTTAACACCGAAGAGCGAATACTTGCAACGCTTTACAACTAATTCACTTACTTATATCAATACATGTATTTAGAGAGAAAAAAATATGGATAACAGATGTAAAACAGCAAATGATCATATAAACAAGCAAACGATTATTGCGTATCGATAGTCCTTCAAGTATACTTACATGGTCCTTTCGGTATAGGTCGGGTGCCACAGCCGACCTGGTTGTATGGTCTGCATGCGTTCAGCTGTTCGTCGAACAAGTCTGGATAGTTACATTCCTGTTTGTAGCTGCCGAAGTCCGTGATCATCATTCGACAGTCGATGTACTGAGCACAGTTATCAGGGTCTGATGCCATCGCACTGGGGTTAACCCTACAGTATGGACCTGGATTTACTGTAACAAGAAAGGCAGATGTGAAGTCACTGTCTTAGTGGGGTACCTAGCAAAATCTAAGAAATCAATTGTAGAACAGAATGGTACGATGATTGACAAAACGGCTTCATCCGGGGGTTCAATTTTATAGTGCTTGCTTGACGTTTAAGTGCAAACGCCATTCCTAATTGTTTTTATTATTATTTTATTACACTACCTATGAATAATTGTTTTTATTATTATTTTATTACATATTTTATTACACTACCTATGAATAATTGTTTTTATCATTATTTTATTACACTTCCTATGAATAATTGTTTTTATTATTATTTTATTACACTACCTATGAATAATTGTTTAAAAAGTTTGTGATTGGTTATTTCTCTCCTGTACTTATTCCGAACGATTGCCAAGAAAATATCTAACTTAAAGTTACTTCATCTGGTAAATTATAACCAGATCATCAGCTACATTACGCACGTGGATCCAAGACAACAGAACAGGCGCCAGCGACTGGATCAAAGACTGGAGTAGTGTTTGGACATTTCTTAACGTCGTATGTCCTCTCGTCCGCACATTGGACGAACCATTCCGGTCTGTTTGGTATGGCATGTGGTCCATCCCTCGTCTTGCCCACACAGCTGGGGTGTTCCTGTTCACACGGGGGACAGTTACCGTCGGGAGAAGTACACTGTCTCGTCTTTTCGTAATCGCCTGTAGTGTATACGTTATAATCACTTTAAACGTCCAATTAAATGATCAACAACATTTAAATAAAATATCTTATCCTGGGTAATTATTTGTAGAAGGTTGAATATTGAGTCACTTCGAGGTTCTTATATATCGCTTTATCACAACCTAGTTCGCATGTAGTCTCAAATCGGGTCACTAATTATTATCCGTGGTTATGGGGCCTTTGCAAACAGCCAATATCTTTTTCAAGTCCCTGGGGAGCTTACAGCCGGTACTGCATTTTTGCGCTTACAGCTAGCATTCAACAATTCTAGCACTGCCCAACCACGTATTCATTTACAGCTCAGGTAGACTGGAACAAGCGGAGTAAAGTATCTTGCTCAAAGATATAACACAGTGCCGTGCCGTGACTCGAACCCGCAACCCTTCGGTCAGCGAGCCCGGCGTCCTACATGTACCACTAGACTAGCGTGCCTCCTTAATGGCAGGTCCAGATCTTGATGGCAGATATATATCCAATCAAATTAGTTTAGGTACTGTCCAACGAAGTTTCAGTGTTTGAAATGGTCTAGTGGTAAAACACTCACTAGCTTTATAGCATTTTGCCCAAATAATTAAACTTGGTTTTTCTAATGATGGATTTTTGCTATTAACAGCGAAAGAATATATCTACTGAACAAACGTTACAGTATTCAAAACACGACGTTAATGCAAGTTCTAGTATGTCTAACATGCCAATAATATTCATTTTTATTTATTTGATTAATATATTACCCAGAGTTTTGTGGTTTGTTTGTTTGTTTTTCCGGTTTTTTAATTCGGCACCGCAATTGCGTCTCCATAAGGGTCTTTACGGGGATTACAACTGTACTTACAAGGGGCTTTGGGTTCCATCCGGCTTCCGCATTGAACTTCTCTGTATGGTTTGCAGACTCCATCTCTGCTGTCATACAGTGTGGGGTAGGGACACTCCTCCTGGTAGTTACCAAGCTGTGTTCTCTCCTGGGCACAGCTTATGTAGCGAGCACAACTCGCAGGGTGAGGGAAGGCGGATGTAGGGTCACGCTGGCAGAACGAGGCGGGGTCAGCTGCAAGTGGACAATGGCCACGTCATTTAATACAGCCAATTAGAATTGTCTTCAAATTTAAAACACTTTGTAACAATTTAGAATACATAATAATAATTTTAAATACTTAGTATTAATTTGAAATACTTAGTAATAATTTGAAATACTTTGTTAATTTAAAATACTTCGGAACAATTTAAAATACTTCGGAACAATTTAAAATACTTCGGAACAATTTAAAATACTTAGTATCAATTTAAAATATTACAACAAGTAATGCAATAAAGATTATTAATCAATCCAAAAGGATTACAAAGCAACGAATTTAATAATGACGATTTTGTGTATATTTATATTTCGTAAAATCTGTTTCTTTCCTTTTTTCAAATATAGACAAATGAAAATTAATTTTCGTTATAATTGATCAAGAACAAACAAACACATAAAGTTTATGACAGGTCTCCAAGAAAATAAAAACACAGCTGTTAATGCACGCAACATGTAGTAAAAGCGTGCATAGCATAAGCAAAAGCAGGTGACAAGCAATTTTGTTAAAAATGACCTTATGAAAGTACTGAGTATTTCTTTATTAAATTATCTCTCATGTTAAACAAATTATGTTAAAGTACTGTCCCTGTTGAAACAAAAATTGGGATAATGAAAACGTGATTTATTTCAAAATTTTCAGTAAATTGACAAACATGTTGGTATATATATTATAGCTGTGATTTTGTCGTCTTAGGTATAATGATCTGTACCTAAAGAACGGTATGCATTGCACTTGTTTGAGGGAAACATGAATAATTGTATATCCTCTGCGTTACGTGTTTCCACAGGGCTTTAACTTTGGGCAACATGATACGCCTCTGATAAACAAAAAATCGTGTCTCCCTTAAAAAAGGTATAAGTGAACACATTATAGCTAAAGACATCGAACGTGAACGCACCACACAAAGGATTGGTAAGAATGGTATATGATATGATTATAAGTAGTAAGTACTATTAAAAAACTACTCTGCGATAAGCGTGACTCACTGAACTATGGGATGCCAATAGCACTATAGACACTAGCCACGGAATCACTAGCTACCCAGTTCTCCGTCTTTGCGTATTGCAGAGTTATCTTCTCTTGAGAGCAGGTATTGATTGTTACGCCATTTGTTTGTGAGAGTAACGTCATCAATTTTTGAGAAAACGACGTAATTTTCTCACACAAACCAATGACGTAACAATCAATACATGCTCTCAAGAGAAGATAACTCTGCAATACGCAAAGACGGAATAAGTATAGAACTGTGCCACTGTCCTGATTGACTACATGAGAAGCAGCTAGGACGAAGTAGAGGCGAACTAAATCTGTACTCCATTGAGATTATATACAGTATATCTAAGACGGGCTATTATGTACTGAAAATAAACTGTTAAGGTCAATCGAAAAAATGCGTTTTCGCTTAACCTAGATTTAAATATGTACTTTAACTCTTTAAACTAATTAAAAAACAAGGATTGTAAAATAATGAAATGTTTTGAAACAAAATGGGGGAAAATCGAGTAAGTGCAAATACGGACCTTAATTTTTCCAGAACTAAAAGCGGAAACACAATTAATTTGTTTGGCCTAAGTCAAACTATAAAATGTCAGGGTAGTATGCATTTGTTCATTACAGCAACAAGAAATTAAACATGTAATACAGTCTTATCGAATTAACCTGACTATACTATGTAAGAAGTGACATATTTATGTATATCTATATGTGTAGCCGAAATATACGTGATGGTCAGGAGCAAACTACAAACTTAGCAAATATGAATAGGTGAGAGATTAAAACGTTGCAAGAAAGCGGTTAATGAATTTAGCCGAGCATATTTCCGTAGTTAGCTGAGCTCATATCCGTAGTTAGCCGAACTTGGTGTAGGTATGTAGATAACGACTCACCAAATAATAGCATGACTTGAAAAATAGATATTTTTTTCTTTCAAATAACTTCTTTATCCACGCAATTTGTGCAGAAATTACCTCCATTTCAGCAAAATGGCGTGTGCTTCGCATAGATATAAATGGGGTTTTTTTAAGGAAACAGTAACGACCATTCCAACGATGTCATTCGTATTTGTACACTCACAAAATATTTGATCTGTGAGGAATATTTGGGTGCATTTCCAGAGCACCTTTCTGATCCGTACCATTGATCTCAGCCTTAATAACGCTTTAAAGTATTTCCCATACACTGTAACCTGTAATTAATTAACAGGCCCCTATGATGGTAAAGTGAGTTGATATCTACGTTGTTAGGTAGGCTAAACTTTGCAAAAACGCTTAAAATGATATACATGTATTGTGCACAATTTATGCTAGGTGTGCATCTTGATTTATAGAATACGTTACGTTGAATATCAAGCAAATCATCGGTGCATGCGCAATGTGCATACATAAAGCTATTCTAGGCGGTGTATATTATCGACAGCGTCTCGTGCGAGCTCTACTATACAGTATCTTACAGGGGTTGATGGGTGGGATACAGCGTCCAGTGAGAGGGTTGTAGATCTGAGGAGTACACGAGTACATCTTGACGAACTTTCCCACAGAGCATTCGAAGTAAAGATCCTCGGTGCCCGTCAAGGCGTTGTTCCCCTCCAGGAGTCCGAAACAGTCCGGGAGTGACCTACACAATCCAGACATGGGGTCAAACAAAGAGGAACCGCAATCTCCCTCAAATGCAATCTCACCGTTCCTACAGGTAATGTAAAGACGGTTGTTGTAAGGTATGGCGAAGTTACCATCAGCAGCACACGCCGGGAACCCACACTGGCGCGTGACGGGGTCAAACGGAAATGGAGCACATGATTGGATAAAAAGTAGAATTCCATTCTCACAGTTGAAGTAAACGAAGTCGTTGTCGGGAATAGAGTTCTTTCCGTTTGGCTTTGAAGAACAAGATGGCGACGCTTGACAATTGGAGGTTATTGGATTGTAGGCTAATGGATCACATGTACCGCTCGACACTCTAAGTCCTCCTTCACATCGGATCCAGTCCGAGTCTGATCCAATAAAAGAGTTATCTGTCCCTGAAATTGGATACGTACTATCGGCTAGTTGACCGCAATCGAGAGCCTTACATTGTCGGGACTCAGGATCAAAGGTTGATGGCGCACACGATCCTGTCTTCAGATAGTAGGAGTTTCTACAGACGATAAACTCGGAGATGGAACCCGCCAGAGCGTTGTTTCCGTTCGGACGTCCTGTACAGCTGGGTATGTTACATCTTCCTGTATCCATGTTGAAGGTCTCAGGTGCACACGAGGCCATCTCTATGTACCGACCATTGCGACAGGTGAAGTACTCGTTGGGTAACTCCAGCATAGGGAAGTTCCCATTCAGCCCTGCACAGTCGGGATGCGTCAGACACTCTCTTGTCTTCTCGTCAAATGTGAACGGCGCACAAGACATCTTATCCACGTATTTACCGTTCTGACATATAAAGAAATCCGTTTTCTGTCCAGGTATAACGTAATTTCCGTCAAGCAATGCTGCGCACGGTGACTGTACGCAGACGCGGTCAACAGAATCGAAGGTATCAGGTGCGCAGGATCCTTTGCTGACGTAGAGTCCATCCATGCACGTGAAATAGTCTGTATCCGTTCCTGCGATTTGATGGTTACCGTCACCGTATCCACCACAATTGTAGGGGGCGACACATGTCCTAGCGATCGGGTCGTAGGATCCCAAAGCCCCTCTACATTGGTCGATACTGACAAACATGCCGCCACTACAGACAAAGTATTTGTCTTCAGTGTTACTGACAGGATGGCGTCCGTCCGTCCGTCCGACACAACCGGGGAAGCGTATATCACAAGGCTCACACGAGGGGTCCGGACAATATTGGTTATAAATGTAGTCGCCTGGAAGAGTAAGCTTGTGAACATGACATAGGTCTTCTTGTGTACTTAAAGAATATTCTTTACCAAACAGATGCATATCAACAGTGCGATCTGGAGCCATTTTATGTGATCAATCAGACACGAAACATCACATTACTGTTGATACCCTGTACGAAATCAATTCTATCAAAATTATTTAAGAAGAACGCGAATGTTACACCTATAGCCAGTGTTAATCGAAAGGTAAAATCCGGAGTGTTCCGAGAGCTGCTCTATTATAAAAAAAACACTCGACTATTCAGATGTTAGCACACCGTGTTGCTGGTTATTGGTCAGTTGTATCAATCATGTGTTAATCACCTACACTGCACCTTAATCGTTTTTACAAAACATCAATAATTAAAAGTTAAATTGTAGCCACAGAAAAAAATGTATTTAAATCCAGGATTTTGTAATTTAGGCAAAGTAAATGCAAGACATATTTAAAATTAAGAACCTAAATAGAAGTGATAGCGTTTATTCCACATATTTCATCGAAACTACACAAAACGATTGTCGATTACAGACGATAAAGTACATGGTACAGGGGAAAAACAGGCAGGGTAAATAGAATTTCAACATTTTTTATTTTATTTCTTTATTTCTTTATTTTCAAAATACTCAATATTGAAAATAAAACAAAATTTGCCTCAGATGTTATATATACTTACTTACCTGAGTTGGTATTTTGGACTATACTTACAAGGATTCTTGGGTTCGAATCTCCATCGGCAGTTAGCCTGTTTTGGTGGTACACATTGAAGCTGGACAATATTGAAGAGCTCGGGATAGGTACATTCCCGGAGGTAAGGACCGAACACGCGATCATCCCGGGAGTCGCTGCAGTTATAGTACCGCGCACAACCGGCCACGTGCGGGAACACGGTCAGGGGGTTCTTCATGCAGAATTCACGGACAGACGCTGTGACATAAAAGGCAGAGTAAAGCAGAGAATAGTTAAATAGTGAACAAAAATCAGAATTTTGAAGAAAAAATATCAAGTTTATCAAATAGAGTTAATATACTTTTGAAATAATCAATAAATCAGTTAAGCACTAAATAGTGTTGGGGTGTATCATTTTTATCTCGAAAGAGTAACATAATGCATAATTAACTTCATGTGGATCAGGCAGAAATCCCACTTACGAAAATGTATATTTTTTCTGTAAATTCAATGAACATGCTAAAAAAAAAATGATACACAAAACGATATGTTAACTGAACAGTCAAAGTCATTAAAACACACTTAGAGCATTCGAACACACCTTTGAGCAGGTATTGTTTATGTCACATCTTTGAACAGGTATTGTTTATGTCACATATTTGAACAGAAATTGATTATGTCACACCTCTGAACAGGTATCGTCTATGTCACTCCTCTGAACAGGTATTGTTTATGTCACATCTTTGAACAGGTATTGTTTATCACATCTCTGAACAGGTATTGTTTATGTCACACCTCTGAACAGGTATTGTCTATGTCACACCTCTGAACAGGTATTGTTTATGTCACACCTCTTAACAGGTATTGTTTTTGTCTAAGAGGCCACGACATATTTGCAAATATGTTTTTTCTTGTGATTTAAGAATCTTGCCGCAATAATATACGCACGAACTTTACAGAGAATGTTAAAGGCTTTGAACACGTTTTCGCGATGCTATACCTGGGTCGAGCTTGGTGGTACATCGTCGGAGGGTGGGATCGAACACGCCATATCGACAGATGCCGACAGACCGCGTCCGTTCTAACATACAGGAGATGTAGAAAGAGGTCAGTTGGCGGTCGGGGAAGGTATTGTTTCCGTCCGGGCGTCCGACACAGCTGGGGGACCTCTCCTCGCACGGCAGTTGACACATGTGTCCGTTACACAAATTCTTTGTGTTGTTGTACTCGCCTGAAAACGTTTGTTTCTACGATTAGACGACATTTGACTATGTTTCTGAAGATTGATTTTGGATTGCGTTGCATTTGCCAAAAGAAAATACAAAATACTTTTAAATACAGCACGTCAGGTATACATCGAACAAAAGGTTAAGGGAGACCGGTATGGAAGAAAGTCTGATATTTCAATAACGAGGTGATTTCCAAATGTACAATTTTTCCGTATAAGATTTAACCACCTGTTACTTTGTATATGGATACGATTAACAAGTTAAATGCTTTAAATTGTTTCTTCACGTGTACAGTGAAAGATATATAAATCAATCAATTATCTACATATAGACACTTACAAGGAGACTTTGGTTCGTAGCGACTCCCACAGCTGACTTCGATAAAATTTACACATCCAGATTTTATGTCGAACAGTTGAGGGTAGGGACACTCCTCCGTCATACTGCTTAGCCCTCGGGTCGGGTCCACCTTACTACAATCGATGTAGCGCGCGCAGTTCGTGGCGTCCGGTATCAGGGCCCGTGGATTACTCACACAGTCACCACCTCCATTATTCCCGGTATTTGGGAACGTGTCTGGGTTAACTGTTTGAAATGAAGCAAGTTCGTTAAGTTATTTTATATTGTATACCATCACACAAAGTTAACTCCGAGAACCTCCAACGCTGGCCAGTGTTTTATAGGATGACGATGCTATGCGATCAAACGCTCCTCAAAACTTTAATCGCACGATATAAAACAAAATACTAGATATTATTTAAATAATGAAAACTGCATACTTTTCAGAGCAACAAAAAGTAACAAAAGTAAACAGCTTACATGGTCCGCCTCCATTTCCGGGAAATATCGGTGCACCTCCTGTACACGACCTCGTTCTGGGGTCAAATATTGCAGCATTTGGACATTTCGAACTGGAATCAACCGTTCTGGATCGGAAACACTCGATATATGCAGGAGTTCCTTCCCTTCCCGGAAACACATGGAGTCCGTCGGACAGACCTGCGCAGCTTGGAAAAACTTGCTCACAAACGGGACAGTTTGCCCCTGAGCACGAGTATCTTTGGTAATCACCTTAAGGAAAGAGAAATAAAGATTCTTCAAATCAGTGACACTTCATTTTAAAATCAGGTAATCCTCTCCTCAGACAGAACGAAACACTGAATCTTGATCTACGGGGGTAGGATAATAACCACTCTCATTAAGGTCACAATACGATCTTTTCAGTTTTTGTAAGACTTTTTCCTAATTTAACCAAAATGATCGATAGTGTTATACAATGTATCTCTAAAAACATTTTCATAGCCATTATAATACATCGTTTTGTTTTTATATAATAAAATAGTGTCGTAGTAGAAATGACACCCTGAAAAGAGATTTTATTTTGGCAAGAGTTTATGCTTCATTTATGTGATTTATATATATATAAAAAAATCCATTGTGTGATCATTTTTAATGATTTGTGCTTCCGGGGTCCAACTCAAGAAAACGACAAGCCAGCACCCCAATGGTATAATAACAGTATCTAACTTTATCCAGTTGCCCGTCTTTTTCAAATTCGAGGGGAGGTCACTCTGACAGGAAACATGAATATATATTTTATTGTTCATGGTTTAATATCTGATTACAGATGATTGACGTATATGTGTATGCGCGCGTAGTGCTTACATTTAGAGATCGGTTGTGACCGGAAGCCGCACTGCACGTCCCGAAAGTCCATACACATTCCTTGGAGCGCTGAGTAATACATAGGATAGGGACACTCGTCCTCGTACTTCAGAAAGTTGTTTCGCTGCCTGGTGCGCGTGCAGTCATACACCATGGCACAGTTTGAGGGGTTTGCGATCTTACCCCGGGGGTTCTCCCTACAATAGGCTTCGACAGACACTACAAAGAAAGAATCAGATGAGATGTTTAACTTAAAAAATCAATACCTGTGATAAATACCTAGATATAATATGTATCTCATATCCCTATTTGTCTGTTTAGGTATAGGGTCACTATGAAGTGTTCACCAAGCCATGTACATTCACGTCACATTTCAGGAATACTACTGTCAACGCTATAACAACATACCCATAACAAAAACTAATCATAAGAACCATCGGATACAAAGAAAGACCTAATTAAAATTTAGTAACTCGATAAAGAAAGCAAATAAAAGGAAGAATATTTACAACTTTTGCTAGAAAGACACCGGGAGGCAAACACGTACGTGAGAGCAACGCCAGTAAATAAACAACATCAAAGATATATCTAGTGCGCGTGTGTTTAAATATGTATTGGCGACACCACACACATACGAGGATCCAGTTGAGTGGTACAGCGTCCCTGGGTGGGATCAAACAGTCCCCTGGCACATGTCTCCACAGAGGTAGCCTTGCCGTTTTGACACACCACGAAATAGTTGGTCAGCAGCCTACTCGGGTGGGAGTTAGGTCCATCCGGCTTTCCCGTACATCCGGGAATCTGGTCAGTGCATTTCTTACAGTCCGGCCCCCTACACTCATACGCTTTGTAGTCACCTAGGCAACAAAAGGATATACAGTGGTCAAAGGCCGTGTCAACAGCAACCAGATACAGTTAGCGATGTAGGGATTTAACCAGATACAGTTAGTGATGTAGGGATTTAACCAGATACAGTTAGCGATGTAGGGATTTAACCAGATACAGTCAGTGATGTAGGAATTTAACCAGTACAGTTAGCGATGTAGGGATTTAACCAGATACAGTTAGCGATGTAGGGATTTAATTAGATACAGTTAGCGATGTAGGGATTTATCAAAGAATGTCTGAGAACTAACAGAAGTATATTGATATATAAGTACAATCCAGTAATCCAGTATTTTTTCACACTAACAGGTGTAATTTTAAGCGATTGCAGGATACATTATTGTATAGTAAATAGAGTTGACAAGCTGAATTCGTATGACGCAACAGATGTGTAGCGTTCTGCAGCATCAGTATGGTTTCTTTAGGTGTCTTCTGCTAAAGAGATATTGGGAATCGTAATTAATTAGCTGAAATCATTTGTAATACCCATTGTCGATAATCGTTCTACCATTTTTCCTCAACGTTTTGCTTCCATGACACTTTAGACAACGATGTGAGACTGTTTTTCACTTTTACTTTTTAGCGTGATGCAACGTTTTTTTCAAATGGAAGCTGTATCTTGTTGTAAGGGTTGTCCAGGGTAACACTAGAGTAGCGAAACGAAAAGTGAGACCTCCCAGGCGTGGCGACGAGGGCAGCAGATATAGTGTTATTTCTCCAATGTTCCCTAGCAGAAGACACTGGACAACACTACCGACACCGCAGACGTATTTGGCAGTACACTAACTGTTTTTAGATATGCATATCACCTTGTCAAATACGACAAATATATTTTAATTGACTGAATTGTTGCTATTTATATATATATATATATATGTTCGTTTCCCTATGAACGTATAATGGGATGAACCGATTATAACTTCTGTCATGTCCCTTTAAATATTTTTCCTATAAACGATGTATGAACTTAACATTGTTGAGCTGTTGGTTTTTAAAGACAACCCAACCCTTTGCTTGAAATAGTAAGATGGACCTTTCCTAGTATTGGAGTTAAACAATACATACATGTATGACTTGGAGTTAAACAATACATACATGTATGACTTGGAATTAAACAATACATACATGTATGACTTGGAGTTAAACAATACATACATGTATGACTTGGAGTTAAACAAAACATACATGTATAACTTGGAGTTAAACAATACATACATGTATAACTTGGAGTTAAACAATACATACATGTATGACTTGGAATTAAACAATACATACATGTATGACTTGGAATTAAACAATACATACATGTATGACTTGGAGTTAAACAATACATACATGTATGACTTGGAAATGCTTACTTTAAATTTGTTCAGATTTCAATTCAAAATGAATGCACACGTAGAAAGCCGCCTCTATGGCCTGGTCAGGTCCCTAAGCTCTTTGTTACTTATTTAAAAAGGAAAATTGACAGAGGATTCTATAATATATTCATCAAGTCCATTTGATCACGACAGAGACATATCGTATTGGTTATCGCCACCAACTTAACAGGCCATAAATAACTTACAAGGTGACACCGGTTGTTTCCTGTTGGCGCACTTAACATTTCTGAAGTCGAGACAACCAAAGGTCTCCAGGTCAAATAGCTGAGGATGAGGACACTCCCGAAGATAAGGCGTTGCCCCGGCGAACTGTCCGTGTGAGGGGCGCGAGCAGTCATAGTATTGAGCACATTTATCAGGGTTCGGTAGCAGTGCAGTCGGATGATCCGTACAAAAGGTGTCTACCGATTCTGAATAAGAAGAAAGGCAGATTTATAAATGTTGTTCAAGCGAAAATTAAGAATAAAAACGACAAAATATTTCCATAACAGAATTAATGTCCAACTCTGTTGGAGCAAATTTTTGCAGTTGGTACAGTATCAAAACGTCATAGCTAAAAGCTACAAATAATGTTACTGTCACTCGTATGCAGTGTTTTCTCCCTTTAACTGGGCATTTTCTAATAAATACAGACATCCTGAGTGATGGCAGTACATTAGTTCTTGCGTACCTTGTAAATACGTCAAGTTCAATTCCCCGATCGAACGTGAAAAGGTACGGCGTCACCTGCCCGACCAGGTGGGGTTTTTCTCCGGGTACTCCGGGTTTCTCCCACATTAAGACCCCTGCGCAATAACATCCGAGCCAGCAAGAGTGATTGATATAAGTTTAAATAACTTTTTTCATAATTGTTGTACATGTAAAATTAATCAAATTTTCATATAAACGCTAAGAACAGATACCCATCATTAACTATATGTTACATACTTCTAACTGAATTCTTTTGCAGAAGTTATTCATTTCAGAAAGGTGACATATCTCCTTAAGTTGTATTCGGTCTCCTGCCGATATAATCAGTATATTTACATTTGCTCTGCATCACATCTTTATAAACCGATACCACGAATCTGATGTGAAAATGATGACATCATTACAACTGTGACGTCATAATCATAACATTAAAGATAGCCGGCTGATACCAGTTCTGGCTGTTCATTTATTGAGAAAACACTACTTTATACATGTACATGTTTACACGCAAAATAATGTATGACGCACTAACGCGCGTGATTCGATTTGTTTGGCACACAAAACAACGTTAGACGGCTGGACCTTGTCATTATAACGTCACACTAAAATCGACTGGGTTTCTTGATATACATTGACGAATAACAGATTATGCTGTGCACTCCATGGCCGCCTCGTCCTCAAAACTCAAATTGAACAACATCATCGATTGCAAGAACATCTAGAAGCCATTCTGCCATGAGGTAGAGAACTGTTGTTTAGTACATGGTGTAAACGTTAAAACTGTCATTTGACGCATTATATTTATAGAGGCGAGCGTCAAATCATATTTGCGACTCAACATCTTAGTAACAAAATCAACGCAATATGTCTTCGTTTGCGTCTCAGTGTGGCTATCAGTATTGCACAATATTTGGTAATCCTTAAGTAATGAGAAGATTACCCTATAATTATTTGTTTTATTTATTCACTCTTTTTCCGTAGGAGGAAATTTCGATGTTTTACATAATTACTAACAGAAGCGACATCCGCGTGAATTGACCGTTACATTAATTATAACCGAATGACCATTGCCCGGACAGGTGAGACAGCTTTACGACTAGTTTAGCACTGCCCGTATGCTGACCGTCACAGTTCATGATCACCTGTCCAGCTCGTGACGCGACAGCACGGGAATCTGTCTGAGTTATTTCCCTTGGAACTAAGCATTGTTCACTTTAGCAGAAATAGTAATTAGCAGAAATAGTAATGTTTTCCAATATTTTCTTAAGTGGGTGAAACGAAATTTAAACGAGTAAATAAGCATATTAGAAATGAATATTTTAAGTGAAAAATAAACATACATATATATCAATAGAATGCAGTCTGAAGTCGAATAGAGCTAACAACATCTAGGGAATGGGGAACTGAGATTGTTGAGTGACAGTTGTAGGGTGAGTTAAGGTCAGTATCGATCATTCGTCCTTGAAGAAACCTCTTACACGCATACTTCATATAACTCGCTTGTGTTGCATGATGCTTTTTTCGCACGACTTTAATAAAATATATGTATAAGGTAAACAAAATATAAGGCAAACAAAAGTAGCCGCGTTTCCAAAACTGTACGTATTGAGGTTTGTATCACATTCATTCTGACATTACCAATGCTTGCTAAAGATAAGTTAGCATTAAACTTGCCATCCTCGAAATTCAATGGGTTACGTTTACCTAAGTACTCTGCTTGAAAGTGAGCGTAACCGGTGGTAACTACTAAGTGTACTAAGAGAAGGGTAAGTAGCTTTACATAAGGGTGGACAGAGAGAAAGTAAGTGAGGGTAACCCCTGGAATATCGAGGATGTAACACAGCACTAAGTGTAGGGTAAGTGGCATTACATGAGGATGGACAGAGAGAAAGTAAGTGAGGGTAACCCCTGGAATATCGAGGATGTAACACAACACTAAGTGTAGGGTAAGTGGCTTTACATAAGGATGGACAAAGAGGAAGTAAGCGAGGGTAACCCCTGGGATATCGAGGATGTAAATTAACATAGTTAGCACTAAGTGTTGGGTAACTAACGTTACTGGACACAGGCTATGGACGAGGTCCTTATCTGTGTCCAGGGCATTAAACAATCGACAGAGGTCGGCCCCTAGCTGATTGGTCAAACTTCACCTGCTGGACTTGTTATAATTCCCGGGTCGTTGTCTTTTACAATGCTATCATTTCTATAACAAACGAATCTCCGTTTACACGTAAGACACCCAGCGTGCTAAAATGCGGGCAAAATGAGTTATTAATATGAGTTAAAATATCTTGTTTCTTGAATGATTTAAAATAAATAAAGTTTAAATACATACCCATTGACATACACCGAGTCTACTGTTTACCAAGAGTCTACTGTTTACCAAGGGTCTACTGTTTACCAAGAGTCTACTGTTTACCAAGGGTCTACTGTTTACCAATGGTCTACTGTTTACCAAGGGTCTACTGTTTACCAAGGGTCTACTGTTTACCAAGGGTCTACTGTTTACCAAGGGTCTACTGTTTACCAAGAGTCTACTGTTTACCAAGGGCTTACTGTTTACCAAGGGTCTACTCTTTACCAAGAGTCTACTGTTTACCAAGGGTCTACTGTTACCAAGGGTCTACTGTTTACCAAGAGTCTACTGGTTATCAAGGGTCTACTGTTTACCAATAGTCTACTGTTTACCAAGAGTCTACTGTTTACCAAGGGTCTACTGTTTACCAAGGGTCTACAGTTTACCAAGGGTCTACTTTTTACCAAGAGTCTACTGTTTACCAAGGGTCTACTGTTTACCAAGGGTCTACTGTTTACCAAGGGTCTACTGTTTACCAAGGGTCTACTGTTTACCAAGGGTCTACTGTTTACCAAGGGTCTACTGTTTACCAAGGGTCTACTGTTTACCAAGGGTCTACTGTTTACCAAGGGTCTACTGTTTACCAAGGGTCTACTGTTTACCAAGGGTCTACTGTTTACCAAGGGTCTACTGTTTACCAAGGGTCTACTGTTTACCAAGGGTCTACTGTTTACCAAGGGTCTACTGTTTACCAAGGGTCTACTGTTTACCAAGAGTCTACTGTTTATCAAGGGTCTACTGTTTACCAAGGGTCTACTGTTTACCAAGGGTCTACTGTTTACCAAGGGTCTACTGTTTACCAAGGGTCTACTGTTTACCAAGGGTCTACTGTTTACCAAGGGTCTACTGTTTACCAAGGGTCTACTGTTTACCAAGGGTCTACTGTTTACCAAGGGTCTACTGTTTACCAAGGGTCTACTGTTTACCAAGGGTCTACTGTTTACCAAGGGTCTACTGTTTACCAAGGGTCTACTGTTTACCAAGGGTCTACTGTTTACCAAGGGTCTACTGTTTACCAAGGGTCTACTGTTTACCAAGGGTCTACTGTTTACCAAGGGTCTACTGTTTACCAAGGGTCTACTGTTTACCAAGGGTCTACTGTTTACCAAGGGTCTACTGTTTACCAAGGGTCTACTGTTTACCAAGGGTCTACTGTTTACCAAGGGTCTACTGTTTACCAAGGGTCTACTGTTTACCAAGGGTCTACTGTTTACCAAGGGTCTACTGTTTACCAAGGGTCTACTGTTTACCAAGGGTCTACTGTTTACCAAGGGTCTACTGTTTACCAAGGGTCTACTGTTTACCAAGGGTCTACTGTTTACCAAGGGTCTACTGTTTACCAAGGGTCTACTGTTTACCAAGGGTCTACTGTTTACCAAGGGTCTACTGTTTACCAAGGGTCTACTGTTTACCAAGGGTCTACTGTTTACCAAGGGTCTACTGTTTACCAAGGGTCTACTGTTTACCAAGGGTCTACTGTTTACCAAGGGTCTACTGTTTACCAAGGGTCTACTGTTTACCAAGGGTCTACTGTTTACCAAGGGTCTACTGTTTACCAAGGGTCTACTGTTTACCAAGGGTCTACTGTTTACCAAGGGTCTACTGTTTACCAAGGGTCTACTGTTTACCAAGGGTCTACTGTTTACCAAGGGTCTACTGTTTACCAAGGGTCTACTGTTTACCAAGGGTCTACTGTTTACCAAGGGTCTACTGTTTACCAAGGGTCTACTGTTTACCAAGGGTCTACTGTTTACCAAGGGTCTACTGTTTACCAAGGGTCTACTGTTTACCAAGGGTCTACTGTTTACCAAGGGTCTACTGTTTACCAAGGGTCTACTGTTTACCAAGGGTCTACTGTTTACCAAGGGTCTACTGTTTACCAAGGGTCTACTGTTTACCAAGGGTCTACTGTTTACCAAGGGTCTACTGTTTACCAAGGGTCTACTGTTTACCAAGGGTCTACTGTTTACCAAGGGTCTACTGTTTACCAAGGGTCTACTGTTTACCAAGGGTCTACTGTTTACCAAGGGTCTACTGTTTACCAAGGGTCTACTGTTTACCAAGGGTCTACTGTTTACCAAGGGTCTACTGTTTACCAAGGGTCTACTGTTTACCAAGGGTCTACTGTTTACCAAGGGTCTACTGTTTACCAAGGGTCTACTGTTTACCAAGGGTCTACTGTTTACCAAGGGTCTACTGTTTACCAAGGGTCTACTGTTTACCAAGGGTCTACTGTTTACCAAGGGTCTACTGTTTACCAAGGGTCTACTGTTTACCAAGGGTCTACTGTTTACCAAGGGTCTACTGTTTACCAAGGGTCTACTGTTTACCAAGGGTCTACTGTTTACCAAGGGTCTACTGTTT